TCATCGCCGACGGGAAATAACCCCAGGCCCTGTGGCGGTTCCTCCTGCCACCAGTTGGCCGATTCCCAGTGCCATTTGTTTACTCCCACCAGCAAGGTGTCGCCTTCGTGGACAATGCTGTTGCGTCCCCTGACATGCATACCCTGGGCGTTGATGGTGCACCTACGCTATCCCACTGAACATTCAAACTACTACACCGACTTTTAATGCACACTTAAAGGCTCCACCTCTTTCTTAAAGGCCCCACCTCTCTCCCCTGGCTCTCAAGCGACACCGAGCTCAGCTCGGGGCCTCAAGGTTACGCTCATTTGTGATGTCTGTGAAATATTGCGCGCGTTACAGATTGCTTAATTAGTTCAACGACGATGATGATTATGATGTGCTCATGTTTCGTTTGGCTTTTGTAATCTCGGCTGTAGTGCTGTCGCTTCTGCGATGCGGCCAAGTGTGGCTGCTGCTGCTGCTGCTCATAGTCATCCCTCTGTGCGCGTTCGTGTGAGAGCGCGCTACAAACCGTGCAACCCGAGTTCGATTCCCGAGCACGGATAACATTGACATCAGGAATCGGAAGGTGGCCGAGGCATAGTGCCGGCCACACCGCCCCCTCGTGCACTGTGTCGGCCTTGATAGCTGCTCCCTATATACGCCCTTGCTCCAACCGTCCATTGAAGGCTACATGGGGAATCTTTATCTCTAGTGGTGTGTGTGTGTGCGTGTTCACAGGTCATTCTCTCCGTTCTTCCCGCTGCTCAAGTGCGCCGACGCCTCGGCAGTACAGCTGTGGGCCGTGTGGGCCATGCAGCACGTGTGCAGCAAGAACCGTACGGCTTTACACTACCCTCACATTCACCCTGCTGCACTCCACACTCACTGCTACATGTTCACCCTGCTGCACACTACACTCACTGTGCTACACGTTCACCCTGCTGCACTCCACACTCACTGCTACACGTTCACCCTGCTGCACTCCACACTCGCTGTGCTACACGTTCACCCTGCTGCACACTACACTCACTGCTACACGTTCACCCTGCTGCACTCCACACTCACTGCTACACGTTCACCCTGCTGCACTCCACACTCACTGCTACACGTTCACCCTGCTGCACTCCACACTCACTGCTACACGTTCACCCTGCTGCACACTACACTCACTGCTACACGTTCACCCTGCTGCACACTGCTCTCACTGTGCTACACGTTCACCCTGCTGCACACTACACTCACTGTGCTACACATTCACCCTGCTGCACACTACACTCACTGCTACACGTTCACCCTGCTGCACTCCACACTCACTGCTACACGTTCACCCTGCTGCACTCCACACTCACTGCTACACGTTCACCCTGCTGCACTCCACACTCACTGCTACACGTTCACCCTGCTGCACTCCACACTCACTGCTACACGTTCACCCTGCTGCACTCCACACTCACTGCTACACGTTCACCCTGCTGCACACTACACTCACTGCTACACGTTCACCCTGCAGCACACTGCTCTCACTGTGCTACACGTTCACCCTGCTGCACACTACACTCACTGTGCTACATGTTCACCCTGCTGCACACCACACTCACTGCTACACGTTCACCCTGCTGCACACTACACTCACTGCTACACGTTCACCCTGCTGCACTCCACACTTGCTGTGCTACACGTTCACCCTGCTGCACACTGCTCTCACTGTGCTACACGTTCACCCTGATGCACACTACACTCACTGTGCTACATGTTCACCCTGCTGCACCCCACACTCACTGCTACACGTTCACCCTGCTCACTGCTACACGTTCACCCTGCTGCACACTACACTCACTGTGCTACACGTTCACACTGCTGCACACTACACTCACTGCTACACGTTCACCCTGCTGCACACTACACTCACTGTGCTACACGTTCACCCTGATGCACACTACACTCACTGTGCTACACGTTCACCCTGCTGCACACTACACTCACTGCTACATGTTCACCCTGCTGCACCCCACACTCACTGCTACACGTTCACCCTGCTGCACCGTACACTCACTGCTACATGTTCACCCTGCTGCACACTGCTCTCACTGTGCTACACGTTCACCCTGCTGTACACTACACTCACTGCTACACATTCACCCTGCTGCACCCCACACTCACTGTGCTACATGTTCACCCTACTGCACACTGCTCTCACTGTGCTACACGTTCACCCTGCTGCACATTACACTCACTGCTACACGTTCACCCTGCTGCACTTTATTTTAACTGGTTCTGGATATCCCCTGGGTTGACTCGGCCTTAACTGATGCGGGGTGTTGCAATTCACACGCCGAGCTGAAGGTGAGAGCCGGCCTGTGCTGGCCTTAATAGGTGCTCGCCAAGAGCACTTGCCCCAGCCAACAGTCTGTTGAGGCTACACGGGCAGGATCTTTGTGTCACATTGCTCCTGTGTACTGACGCCGGCGTGTGCGTCCGTGTGGAGCAGCGGGCCGCTACTGCAGCATGCTGCTGGAGGAGGGAGGCCGCCCGCACCTCGTGAGGCTGCAGCGCTGCCTCCGCACCGCACGCCACGTCCGCGCCATCGCCGCCAGCGTGCTCCAGCGCCTCGATGCCCACGCCACCGCTTGCGCCGCCCCCGACTCATAGCCTCCCCGGCCACCCGCCAGGTCTGCTCAGCCTAAATTTATGTGAAGGCACGGGGGTGCTCCACAGGAGGCCACCTGATGGCCAAGCGCAGCACGGCACAGCCGTGGCCCCCCCCCCCACCCCAATACCTTGCCGCTCCCAGCATGCCCTGGGGCTATCCAAAGCCGCCCTCTCCACAGGGTGAGTGCAGTCATAGGAACGTTTCCCAGCATGCACTGGGGTATGATAGCAGACACTTTTCCCAGAATGCTCTGGGCTCTGACCCAACGTGCACTGGGTTCTGCGAATACTTTACCTGTTGGCAACAAGTCTCCCATTATGCACCGGTGCCAACATGTGCCCTCTTTACAGCCTGCAATGGGGCACAGAAAGCGGTAACACCCGGAAGGGCACTGGGACTTGCTGGTAGCACTTCCTAGCATGCACCGGAGGCCTGCTTGGCACATTTACTACCCAGCATGCAATTGGTGCCATCGGCTCATCCCGTCGGGGCAGTGTGCACATTTCCCCAAAGTCACGTGGCCAGGCAAATGGGCTCCTCCCCAACTCACGGTACTTGTCGCTACGTGTACCCAATCTTAATTTGTAAAATATGGATATATTTAACTCTAGCCCCTAACAAATTATAGCAAATCCCAGCATGCCTTGCAAATTAACCTGCCCCCCCCCCCCCACGTGCATTAATAAGTGTGATAATGCACTCTAGACTGTTACACACCTCTGCTGCCCTACGCAGAAGTCTGGTTTACATGGATTTTGCAAGAGAGAGGAGTAATTTGCAAGATACCGACGCACGGAGGCAACCAGAGGAGGCGACGGTGGCGGCGGCACCGAAAACAATGCTCAACGTGACTCGGGAGAAATGGTGCCATCCTTACACCGACTGTAGCACCGCAAAAAACACTATTAGTATTAAATATTAATGTAATTTGTGAAGGTGCCACACTCGTATCCTGACGGATTAAAAACAAGGGCGATTTTAAAAGAATCCGTTGTCTATTGTACATGTGAATATGGTGAATATGGTGAATAATTGACTACACACGGGCTGGTTCTTTGTGCAGCGTTGCTGCCCACACGGATGATGACCACTCTTTCCATCGAGCCAGCGAAAACGCTACATACATACCTTCCTCCCTCGCGCTCTACCATCCCAGCTCCACTGCATCACGGATCTTGTGGGGTTTTTTTTCTTCCCTTTTTTGCACCAGATTATAAAGTGGATGGATTGATAAGATGATAAAAAAACACATTTTAAAAAGGTGCTTTATATGAATCTGTTCCATACTGCATTGTATCAAAAGAGTTCTGCTTTGAATAAAAAAAAAAGTTAAAAAGTATTGCTGTTCTCAAACGCACATTACACAGTGGTCATCTTTGTTGTTTATCCTGAGTCGGTCTTGTATCCCCCAAAGGACAACCGCTGTTGACTTCTCACGAAGTTGAACTCTTTTTATCAACCGGAGGGATAATTGGCGGAGTTGACCTCTGCAATGTAAAATCGATTTTGCAACAAACCTACGTCTGCACCACACGCTTTCAACCACAGCACCACTGTGATTGAGACGGGTTTTGTCCCCGCAGTCTTGATTCCGAGTGATAGGTCTGTTGGTGAGTTTCAGGAGCTGAGGCCTACGAAAACCCCTCTGATTTGGAAAGCTTACCAGTAGCTCTTGCGTGAAATTCTCCCAAGTTCTGCATCGGGCCTGGGGATCGGGGCTCGTTCACGCGGCGGGTGCCGTTTTCTCTCCATTTTTAAGGTGGCAGAGTGCGGGAGAGACCGATCATTCGCGGCCCCACAGTTTGGGGTGGCTGCAATTTATTCCTTTCACGAGGATAACGACGGTGCCGGTGAAGGTCTCCGGGCAGGAGAGGCTCCAGGCTCGTGTGGCGGGTTCGAGTCAAGTGGAGCCACCGGTCGGGATGGACGTGACTACCTGCTAGCTGTAGCCATCCTTGGACGCCGTGTTGCGTCTCCTACATTTGAATCTGACCTTCGCGCCAGAGAGGCCGCTTACGGTTCAAGTGGCGTGAAGCGAGCCATTGCCGAGTTACTGAATCACGTTTGCACTCTAAAAATCATCCTGCAGTCATCCCGTGGCGGGAAGAAGAACTGAGATGAGGGTACTCCACCGCATTGCTGTATCATTCCACATACACTGTATTTTACCGCTCAGCCACGCATAAACCGTGTGATGATGGCACGTGTTCCGCGTTTTAACGGGGCACGTTCCGCGTTTCACCCGAGTCTTGTTTTGCTCGTTTGTCCTGAGCCCAACTTTTCTGCCCTCTTTGTGAAGTTCTTCGTTATTTTTCCTGTAGTTAATTTCCATCGATCATTATAATGACCACATAACCAGTGTTCGTTCATTCTTTCTCTGCTATGCGTTTATTTTTACAATCCAATTCTCATACAACATTTACTTAATCACCACTGGAATCACAGTTAATTGTATTTGATATGAAAAAACAATCACAATCATTGACAATTAAAAAAATCACATTCCACCGTAACACATTGAATTACAAATGTATTTTAAATACTTTACAATCATCAGAATCATCAGTTCTTTTATCACCATGAAGGGCAGGTGGTTGACAACGATGGATGAAGTTTTTAGCACGTGTATTCGCGACAAGCCTTGTGGGTTTGTCTTCATGCTACTTGGGAATGGCCTCTTCAGGTAAAGACCAAAGAGCCGAATAGGCAGCTTGATTCAGCACGGTTGAATCGTTCAAGAGTAACTTCTTTTCATGAAGACCAATGCCCGCCTAGTCCTTAGCCCTAAATAGTCCTGGTCACATCAATGAAAGTACCAAACTTGTAACTCATCCAGCTAATCTAAATTGTAGTGTTAATAAAGAATGTAACCAAAATCTAGATTTGAAGTTTTCGTGACTGCAGGGATCCATACTCTTTGGTGCTTTCGGTAAAGTCACGTAGGTAGAAAATAAAATAAATGTATTTTATTTTAAATGCATTGGGAATATTTATTTATTTATTTTATACCTACGTGACTTTAACGAAAGAACCAAAGAGTATGTAACCATAACCTTAATGTGAACATTGAATGTAACAGATCTGACCAATAGCCAAATACTAATCCTTGCCGACTTTCTCACTTAAAGCCTAACACTGGGATTGTTATATGATTAATGATCAACCCTAAAGCCAAGTCAAATGGTGCAATTTTATTGCAAGAATGTATAAATGTTGTCTATATAATCATATCCCTCTCTCCACATGTAACGGAATTTTTTACACAATTTCAGCAACACTAATTCAGTACAATCAAAACTCTGGAACGATTTCGACTTGTAGAGTCGGGGCTTGCTTGAACCAAATGCTGTGGTTGTTGCAGATACAAAGAAGGCACTCTGGGATCACGTGGTGACCTCATGTCTGCCTCGCCCATCGTGCCTTCATTGTCTCGCTGCATCTCGAGTGTTAAATCTGCAACGGGGATTCAACAATCCTTACGAAGGTAAAATACAACACCCTGATTATTTCACACCCATTGTATCAATTGTAAATTCAATAAATATGGTTTATTCATAGGTCAAGCTGATGCAGTTGCTTACCTAGATTTTTTATGAAGCTTCCTGGGCTGGACCGTCCAGGCTGGAGAGAGGGGGGTGGTGGTGGTGGTTAGCACTCCCGGCCTCGTGTATAATTATTATGAACGAGTTCGGGTGAATATTGCTTCACCAGGGCGAGAACTCAACACATTGGCTGTGGCTGAATTGAATGGCTCAGTCGGTTGCCGACGTTTGCAGAAGCAAAGCAGCTGCATTGCCTCTCGTGGGATGCCGTGCAATATTTGAACGTGCAGGAAAATTGTGACATTTAACTTGGCTCAATACTGGTGCAAGCCATGGTTTTAATCCTAACCCTGGCCACAAACTCTAGCCCCCACCTAGCCCAGTCTCTGAAGTCTTCACCTAACACCTCGTCTAGCCCACGACCCACTATAGGCACTCGACATGGCACTGACTTGTATGTTGAACTTCCTTCGCACCGTACGTAACCAACCGTGCTAAGCGGAGGTGCCACCACGGGGCCCTGAGCGATCAGCACAGCTCCCCCAGGCCCTCGTAGCCCTGAACCCCGCACTTCTTTCCGGCAACACGGCACCCGAACGTGAGCGCCTCCTGCAGGGACTGGCCTGGCCACACAGAAACAAACAAACACTTGACATGCACGTACATAACAAAGATTACCCCGTGTAGCATTGACACATTGCTAGGGCGAGCAACTATGAAGGGCAATCTGATACGCGACGGGATGGTGTGGCTAGCGCCGTGCCCCGCCACCTTTGTCTCCCCAGTGGTAATATTTACACACTGCATGGGGCACTCGTTCAGGTCGAGCCAACCTAGCGGAGGCCCAAGACCGGTTCAGACATTCGACACCGATGGTAGTCGTGAGCGGGGAATCGAACTCGGGTTACTGGGTTCGTAACCACTCCCCACGCTGTATCTGATGTAGGGGTCACGTGGGGACACGCTGATGTCAGGTGGGGACCGCACCCAAGATGGACAAAGGCAGCGGATAACGAAGCCGTGTAAAAGGAGACGGGATTGGAGGAGACCTAAAGGGGGAATATTTGGTGGTAAAGAAGCAGGGGCTTAGAGGAACTTCTAGAGAGTTCGAGAAGAGAGAATGTGGATCAGGGGTTTGTGTCGTGTGCTCGGTGCTCCAGGAGAGAAGGCATGGTGTGGGTGTGCATGTGTCATGGTGTACGTGGTATGAAGATCTGAATAAAATCCCTACCAGACGATTCATTCTATTGGACTCCCTTTCACACATATACACACACAACGCACTTACTATGCGTGTATGTGTGTTTGTGCACGTGGGTGCGAGTGGGTATCTGTATGAATAACTGTGTGCGTGTACGACCATGTATGTGTGCGCGTGGGTATTTATGTGAATGAATGTGTGAACGTATGTACGCGGGTAACTGCTTGTGTGTACATTGGCATCTGCGTGTATGAATGTCCCTGTGAGTGTTGGTGTGTGTGGCGCAGTGGTTAGCGAATTGCGGTACGAACTTGGTGACCCGAGTTCGCTCACTTCCAACATCAGTGATGAATATCTGAATGGTGTGTAAAGTTACCACTGGGGACAGCACACGAGGTAGCTTAGTGTGGTGCTAAGCACACCACCCCATCGTGTGTCACGCTGGCCTTTATAGGTGTTCACTAACAGCACTTGCCCCAACAGTCTGTTAAAGGCTATATGGAGGTTCTTTGGTTCCACATGGGTATCTGTGTGAACGACTGTGTGTGTGGATGTACAGGTGTATCTGTGTGAACGACTGTGTGTGTGGATGTACAGGTGTATCTGCGCATACACACACAGACACGCATATGACCGTTTGTGTACGAATGTAGCCATGCCATGTCGATGTTAACTACCTCGCCTGGTATACAGGAGGTTGTGGATTCGATGCCAACCCTTGACGCCTGCTGTATATTTGGAGTTTGAAAGTTCTCCCCGTGGCTGTGTGGATTTTTTCCCGGGTCTTCTGGTTTTCCCCTCCACATTTACAATCATGCGTTTGGAGTATTTGGCTGCGATAAATTTCCACACGATTTAGCCATTTCGTCAAGCTATCATTTGTAACAGCCAGGGCGCTTGTGGAAAATCGCTACATAGCTCAGTGGGGACTTACCTGATGAAACGTCAAAATAAATAAAACAGTGGTGCGTGCGTGCGCGCATTTGCGTGTACGCACACACGCGCGCGCGTGCGTGCCCGTGCGTGCGTGTGCGGTGACGCACCCCGCGACAGCGCCGCGATGACGCCGGCGATGAAGGTGTCCCCCGCGCCGAGCGTGTCCACCAAGGTGGGCGGCGGGAACGCGGGAGAGCACGCCACCTCCCCGGACGGGCCCGTCGCCGCCGCCCCCTGCTCCCCCCACGCGCACACCAGCACGCCGCTGCCGCGGCGCGCGTTGACGGGAGCAGGGAGAACGTTCGGTGAACCCCACGCTGCTGCGTCAACGCGCTACTGAACCAGGCTAGGTTTTTTTTTTATATTTGTTTGTGGTTGCGACAAAAGGCGAGCCCGGTACAATACGCTGATCGACATTGGAGGAGGACAGAAACTTTGCGAGAATTCGAATTTGGGGAGGGGGAAGTTGGACTCGCTGCTCCAGGGACCACGTGTTGGTAAACAATCCTTTGGTTTTACCAGGCAAGGCTCACTGAGCTATGAAGCTCTTTTTAAGAAGCGACCTGGCCACAAATAATGGCCCAACGAAGTGGATTTATCATCTTGTAGAAATGTATAGCAGCCAAATATTATAAAATGAACGTTGATTCGAAATGTGGAGGAAAAAAACATGACTCAAATTAAAACCCACACGACCACGGGGACAGAGATAGACACCACGAACTCTAAATATATAGGCATCAGGGTCGGGATCGAATCGACGACCTCCTGCGTACCAGGTGAGGGAGTTAACATGTCCGAGCCACCACGACGCCCCTAACTTACAGTCGTAGGGACATTGTGCAGCTACCACGTCACTCGGGCTCAGCTCCTCACAGAATATTTCCCAAGGCCACCCTCACCGCTAACCCCTCGACCTCCAATCCCCTGGACCCCCACCCCCCCCAGTGCCGGATGAAGCTAGTACGGGGCCTGTAGCATATGTTATAAAGGGGCCCTAAATATTAAAAAACACAAATATTAAAAAAACTAATTTTTTACTTGCACAGTAAAGTAATTGTATTTTTTCATTTGCTATACAGCCACAGATAATACGACAAATCACTAACCTTAAACACCAAGTCGTTCATAAAAGTTTAAGTACTTTAGTACAAGTGCAGAATCACTGAACCGGAACTTATAGCTTGAAAGCATTTAGCACGGGGCCTTTGAAAGTGCGGGGCCCGTAGCTACATGTGTAGCTACTTGTGCTACTAGGACCATCCGGCACTCCCCCCCCCCACCCCATCAACTACCCTGGGGGCAGGGAAACATTTTCGGGCACTCATCCCAGGCCCGCACCAGCTGAATTTCGGGCCTGGATGCCAATCAAAGTCAAGGGTGCCACGTATTCAGAGCACACATCGCCACATCCCTGCTTGCTTGTGCAAATGAGGTGGCACCTTGACCTTGATTGTTGTTACCCTATGGAGAGACTGGTTGTCTGGACACTCTGGTTTACTCCCACACACACAAATCATGAAGAGGAATTGGTCAAATAAGATCCTGAAAAACAGTTCTGAGACTTAGTGAGGCCGTGTGAGTGTATGTGTGGGTGAATGCATGGGTGAGTGTATGCGTGGGTGGGTGAATGCATGGGTGAGTGTATGTGTGTTGGCACAGTAGGGGCACAGGTGGTGCATCAGTCATCTCAGTCAGTCGACCCATAGCACCTGGGTCTGCCCCATAACCTCCTGCCAGCGGGCGTTCGACACTTCACGTGGCCTCAATGTGCACATAGCCTGGCACAAGTGCTGTGGTGACGTCACCGCCACCTCGTGGCGAATGGCGGTTGTTGTTGTGTGTGTAAATGGGGAAGCGGTGGGGAAGCGGTAGTGTAGCGGTTAGCATGCTGCGCTACGAAGCTGGAAACCCGAGTTAGATTCCCGCTCACGCCCAACACCAGTGACGATTGTCTGAACCGGTCCTGGGCCTCCCCTAGGACGACTCAGCCTTAAATAAGTACCTGGTGCAGTGTGTAAACATCACTACTAGGGAGACAAAGCCTGGCCACTCACCCCCTTGTGTGCTGTGCCAGCCTTCGTATGTGCTCGCTAACAGCACTTGCCTCAACAGTCTGTTGAAGGCTATCTGGGGGATCTTTGTCTTCTGTAAATGGGCGAGTGGTGATGAAGCGGTGAACGCACTGCCAGCATTGGCTCAGGTTAACGGCACGTGATACCTGGTGCTGTGCGTAAACTCCAGTGCTGGGGAGAGAGAATTTTGGTGATGGCCAGACCCCGTCTCAACGTCCCATGCAGGCTACGTGGGCGTCTTTGTCTCTGTACACGCGCTGTGTGCGGGTGGGTGAGTACCCTCGCTTCACTCTGCCGTAGAGCCCTCGTACTGCCGCCTCAGCTGAATTGTACCCAGCGTGCTTTGCAAAGTCCTTACTGATGAAAACCTGGAACACAACAGCGAGCAATGCAGCATTGTTCATCACCGTTGGTGGGTCTGAATGACTGGTGGAAATTCCATAATTCCATCCCAGGTTTCAGATTCTCCATAGGATGATCACAATATTAACAGATTATACATACTTAGTTACTGAAAACGGATCTATCATGGTAGCTGTGTACATCTGCATTTGGGCGAATACCGTGTGGTCACCGATGGAAGAAATGCCCAAGCTCAACCCCGCTCCGCTCCCCATATCTGATGAGCTCCAGGATTATCCCACTTACTTGGTCACAATGCGTTATATAATAATTTGCATAGATTGTAAATCATCCATTCTCATACGCAAACTTCGATGCACATATCCAGAGCTTAGGATTTGACGTTAACTCTTGACCCGACACGCACGCTTTGTCACGTGAACCGTGGATCATCGGTGCGTTGTAGCCAAAGGCCAAACACCTTGCCCACGTCCCCCACAAATTGACACGGACGCGCTCACCACGTCGCCGTGGCCGATCAGCTGATGCGTGTCGAGTTTCTCGGGCTTCTCTATCTCCACCGACACCGTGATGGCTTCCCCGGGGTCTCGGCGTCTGTTCATCTCGTTGACGCGCGCGATCATCCGCAGCTGCTCGTCGCCGTTCCTGCCCTACGCTCGCGCGTGCACACAGATGGGCAAAGATCCCATCCCCGAATAGACGGCGACTTTTTGACAGACTGTTGGGGCAAGTGCTGTTGGTGAGCACCGATGAAGGCCGGCGCGGCACACGAGGGGGAGGGGTAGCCACCACCACGCCCGGACGTCTTTGTCTCTCCAGCACTAATGTTTACAAGCCACAGCAGGTAATTATTGAAGGCCGACACAACCTTTAGGAGGCCCACCACCGCCGCCACCGCTGGGCCACTGCATCACGCGGCTTCGACGCAGCTGCCACATTAAACGCTCCCTCCCTCCCTCGCTCACTCCCTCGATCACTCCCTCGCTCGCTCCCTCCCTTCCACCCTCGCTCGCTCACTCACTCCCTTCCTCGATCACTCCCTCGCTCGCTCCCTCCCTTCCTCCCTCGCTCGCTCCCTCCCTTCCACCCTCGCTCGCTCGCTCACTCACTCCCTTCCTCGATCACTCCCTTCTTCGCTCGCTCCCTCGCTCACTCCCTTTCTCGCTCGCGTTCCGCACCGCTCGCTGGGGACTGGGCAGCGCACGCTGACGTGAAAAGCAACCAAAATGAAACCCATCGCGAAAACATCGCCAGAGGGTGGACTCACCTCCCAGTGAATCCACCTGAAAGGGCCGAGGTCGACTTTGCTGAAATCGTCCGCCAAGATCTCGGGTAAATCCCTTTTAGTGCCCGACACACGCACGTGCACACACACGCACGTGCACACACACACATACACACACACGTACACACACACACGCACAAAAGACAAAGATCCCCCATATAGCCTTAACAGACTGTAGGGGCAAGTGCTGTTAGCGAGCACCTATGAAGGCCGGAACGGTACACGAGGGGGTGGGTGGCCAGCACTACGCCCGACCGCCTTTGTCTCCCTAGTGGCAATGTTTACACACCGCACCAGGTACTCATTTGAGGCTGAGTCGACCTAGGGGAGGCCCGGGACCGGTTCAGATAATCGTCACTGGTGTTGGCTGTGAGCGGGAATCGAACCCGGGTCGCCAGGTTCATAGCGCAGCGCGCTAACCGCTACACTATCGCACACGCACGTGCACACATGTACATGTACACGTATACACGTGTATATGTACACGTGTACATGCACACGTGTACATGTACACGTGTACACGTAGAAACACAAACATGCGCAGGTTTAGACGTCGGTGAAACAGCTCAGTGAAGGAAGTGGGATTGGCCGTCAGGGATTGATGACCGATGGTGAAGAATGAAGACCAGCGTAAGAGTGGCAGCCAAGGGATGGAATGCATCTGAAAGGACGGTCACTCAAGAGATGGACAGGGGAAATCATATTGTGTACGGCTACATTTAGACTCTACGAAACGAGACTGACCAGGAGAACAAACACAATACGAACGAGACGGTAAAAATGAGAAGACAATCGTGACAATAAGATCACCGGTGGTTTTAATTTTTAAAAATTGTATAGAATTATTTTTTACGTTTAATTATTCTATGACGCTTTGGGCGTTATATTTGTGCCAATAAGGCGCCACGTGTTCACCAAAAATCAATTGACTCGACTTGTTGCTTCGCTACTGGCGGTGATCTGCTTCAGCCATGGAATAAATCTGAAGGTTTGTGATCGCGTGCTAGCATGAGTGCAGTGCGTCGTGAGCGCGCCGCGCTGATCGCAGTCAGCTCTTTGGAGCGGAGAGGAGATCACTCCACCACTACTACACACACACACGGGTACTGTGCCCACAAACACGCGCAAGTGCAACACACCTGCGTACACGTACAGCAATACATACGCACATGCAGAAATAAACACAAATACAAAGATGTTTGTGGAACTTCTATCGCACCGGAGGTAGCCAACCGTGCTAATCGGAAGTGCTGGGGAAGGCCAACAAACTAAACACAAAAAGCAGTTCCAAATAAATGAGTTTTCAATCTACATTTAAAAGTGCACAGCTCCAGTAGTTTCCTAATATCGGAAGAGCGTTTCAGACGGCCGCAGAAGCGCATCTGAAAGCGCGCAATGCTGTGACCATCTTTTATTGATGGTTAGCCAGAAGCCGCTGCTGTGAAGACGACCGGAGTTCACGCGATGGTTTATGTTCCTTTACGAGATCAGCAAGGTATTGTGGTTGATTTGGCGCCAGCACTTTGTGTGTAACGAGTGCGACCTCACAATGGTCACTTCAGTCGCCCAGACTCGGTTGAGCAAACGCTATCGGAGAGCGCCTGCGTCGGGCGGCATTGCAAGCCACGGCACAATGTGCGTCTGATGGGCCGAGTCTGCGCGTCTCAGGGGTGCAAGACAACCCCTGGGGCCAGCTTCTCTCGGATGGAGGAGAGGGGGGCGGCAGAGTCATTGTGTGGGGTGGGGAGACCACAGCAATGATTCACACCGCTGGGGAGGAGAGGGAATCTCGGTCGAGCTAAAAGCGACGTTTGGCGATGGAGGGTGCACCCCAGCAGAGCCCCCCAGTGCTGACCCTCACCCTTCGCTAGCTGCGGTTCCCTCAGCCCCAACTTTGATGGCAGCGTGGAACAACTGATGAGCCCCCGTGAAGCCGAAACTCGTCCTCGTCTCCTGTGCTAAAGGCTACTCATTCCCTCGGTGACGGCCTTGGGGCCAAGAGGTGCGGTTTATTTCACAAATACGTTGTTAGTAGACCTGGCCGAAGCGGCGTGACCAGGGCCTCGCTCTGCCCTACTCGGGCCACCAGCGGCCAGGCTCTCACCGGCGTGGCCGCTGCTGAAGCCGCTTGCGGCCCAGCGGGCAGCGCGGCCGCTCCATTCCCGCTGCAGTCAGCCGCTAATTCCTGCAGAGAAATTACCAAAGTGCCCCGGGCTGCTGCGAAACTTACACTAAAGAACCTTCTTCATTTGGGTGCCAGGAAGGGCAGTGGAGTGGAGACACTTGTGCCTCCTCACAGACAGCAAGAAGCGCCTGGCTTCCATTCACCGACTCGGGCGTATTCCTGTCTCGAGTTTGTTGTAGGTTGTCTCCCCCCCCCCACACCGTTCTGCATGGGGTTCCTCTGGGTTCTGCGGTTTCTTCCTTCTCCGAAAGCTAAACAATCACTCACAATGTCATCGGTGTTGGTCAAACATTCCCAATGTAGCAGGGCCCTCCGTCTTTGTACTAGCGTGGCTTTCCTGGGTAATTAAATTGCGATGACATTGGAAAAACGAAGCCATTGCGTGTGGATGCTTGAGAATATTCTCCCATAATTAGAACCCGAAATTGTTTGATTCGTTTAAAGTTAACAACTATTGCTACGCAAAAGTTGTATTCCAGGGTATCCATGGCAAGAGGCGATGAACCCCACTTTGCTAGGCAGACACGAGACAAAGATCCCCTGTGTAGCCTTCCACAGACTAATGGGGCAAGTGCTGTTGGCGAGCACCTATGAAGGACGGCACGGCACACAAGGGGGTGGGTGGCCAGCACCACGCCCAGCCGCCTTTGTCTCCCTCACCGCACCAGGCCACAGTGGCGATGTTTACACACCGCACCAGGTACTAATTTGGGGCTGAGTGGCCTGAGGGGAGGCCCATGACCGGATCAGATAATCGTCACCGGTGTTGGTGGCCGTGAGCGGGAATCGAACTCGGGTCGCCAGGTTTCGTATTGCAGTGGTACTACCCGCTCCACTACCATCGCTGCCCCACTGAGCTTACCCCGAGAGCACTGCGTGCGGGTCGAGTGCTTACGTGAAGGCAGGCCGAGACCAGGCCACAGCCTCAACGTGACCAGGGCTCCGCTCACACCGACGAGCCCTTCTCCCCGGTCTCCTCACCTTTCCGCGTCCGCTCTCAGCCCTCACAATGTCCTCTCCTTGGCATTCACAACACAGCCTCGGTCGGGAAAACGCGTGAAGCCGACGCCGAGCGGCGTCGGGGGCGAGCGCGCGACGGAATGGTCTGTGTGAGGGAAGGTGTGGGTGAGTGAGCGACTGAGTGAGCTGGTAAGGACGTGAGTGAGTGTGAGTGAGCTGTTAAGGACGTGAGTGTGAGTGAGTGGGCTGGTAAGGACGTGAGTGAGTGTGAGTGGGCTGGTAAGGACATGAGTGAGTGTGAGTGAGCTGGTAAGGACGTGAGTGTGAGTGGGCCGGTAAGGACGTGAGTGAGTGTGAGTGAGCTGTTAAGGACGTGAGTGAGTGTGAGTGGGCTGGTAAGGACGTGAGTGTGAGTGGGCTGGTAAGGACGTGAGTGAGTGTGAGTGAGCTGTTAAGGACGTGAGTGAGTGTGAGTGGGCTGGTAAGGACGTGAGTGTGAGTGGGCTGGTAAGGACGTGAGTGAGTGTGAGTGAGCTGTTAAGGACGTGAGTGAGTGTGAGTGGGCTGGTAAGGACGTGAGTGAGTGTGAGTGAGCCGGTAAGGACGTGAGTGTGAGTGAGCTGGTAAGGACGTGAGTGAGAGTGAGCTGGTAAGGACGTGAGTGAGTGTGAGTGGGCTGTTAAGGACGTGAGTGAGTGTGAGTAGGCTGGTAAGGACGTGAGTGAGTGTGAGTGAGCTGGTAAGGACGTGAGTGAGTGTGAGTGAGCTGGTAAGGACATGAGTGAGTGTGAGTGAGCTGTTAAGGACGTGAGTGAGTGTGAGTGAGCTGGTAAGGACATGAGTGAGTGTGAGTGAGCTGTTAAGGACGTGAGTGAGTGTGAGTGGGCTGGTAAGGACGTGAGTGTGAGTGGGCTGGTAAGGACGTGAGTGAGTGTGAGTGAGCTGTTAAGGACGTGAGTGAGTGTGAGTGGGCTGGTAAGGACGTGAGTGTGAGTGGGCTGGTAAGGACGTGAGTGAGTGTGAGTGAGCTGTTAAGGACGTGAGTGAGTGTGAGTGGGCTGGTAAGGACGTGAGTGAGTGTGAGTGAGCCGGTAAGGACGTGAGTGTGAGTGAGCTGGTAAGGACGTGAGTGAGAGTGAGCTGGTAAGGACGTGAGTGAGTGTGAGTGGGCTGTTAAGGACGTGAGTGAGTGTGAGTAGGCTGGTAAGGACGTGAGTGAGTGTGAGCTGTTAAGGACGTGAGTGAGTGTGAGTGGGCTGGTAAGGACGTGAGTGAGTGTGAGTGGGCTGGTAAGGACGTGAGTGTGAGTAGGCTGGTAAGGACGTGAGTGTGAGTGAGCCGGTAAGGACATGAGTGAGTGTGAGTGGGCTGGTAAGGACGTGAGTGAGTGTGAGTGAGCTGGTAAGGACGTGAGTGAGTGTGAGTGGGCCGGTAAGGACGTGAGTGAGTGTGAGTGAGCTGGTAAGGACGTGAGTGAGTGTGAGTGAGCTGGTAAGGACGTGAGTGAGAGTGAGTGGGCCGGTAAGGACGTGAGTGAGTGTGAGTGAGCTGGTAAGGACGTGAGTGAGTGTGAGTGGGCTGGTAAGGACGTGAGTGAGTGTGAGTAGGCTGGTAAGGACGTGAGTGTGAGTGGGCTGGTAAGGATGTGAGTGAGTGTGAGTGAGTGGGCTGGTAAGGACATGAGTGAGTGTGAGTGAGCTGGTAAGGACGTGAGTGTGAGTGGGCCGGTAAGGACGTGAGTGAGTGTGAGTGAGCTGGTAAGGACGTGAGTGAGTGTGAGTGGGCTGGTAAGGACATGAGTGTGAGTGTGAGTAGGCTGGTAAGGACGTGAGTGAGTGTGAGTGAGCTGGTAAGGACGTGAGTGAGTGTGAGTGGGCTGGTAAGGACATGAGTGAGTGTGAGTGGGCTGGTAAGGACATGAGTGAGTGTGAGTGGGCCGGTAAGGACGTGAGTGAGTGTGAGTGAGCTGGTAAGGACGTGAGTGAGTGTGAGTGGGCTGTTAAGGACGTGAGTGTGTGTGAGTGGGCTGGTAAGGACATGAGTGAGTGTGAGTGGGCTGGTAAGGAAGTGAGTGAGTGTGAGTGGGCTGGTAAGGACATGAGTGTGAGTGGGCTGGTAAGGACGTGAGTGTGAGTGAGTGGGCTGGTAAGGACGTGAGTGAGTGTGAGCTGTTAAGGACGTGAGTGAGTGTGAGTGGGCTGGTAAGGACGTGAGTGAGTGTGAGTGGGCTGGTAAGGACGTGAGTGTGAGTAGGCTGGTAAGGACGTGAGTGTGAGTGAGCCGGTAAGGACGTGAGTGAGTGTGAGTGGGCCGGTAAGGACGTGAGTGAGTGTGAGTGAGCTGGTAAGGACGTGAGTGAGGGAGTGAGTAGAAGCGAGGGAGGGAGTGGATACGGGGTAGACAAGTGTGAAAGTGAGTGATTAAATCGGGTGAGCTAGTCGGCGAGTTGGAAACTATCCGGAGGTATATCGGTGAGAGAGGGAAGAGGCGAGGAATCTCGCGAGTGAGGCAGCGGGATAGCATGCGACACAGCCGGCTAATACGTTGAGCGAATGGGTGAATGAGAATGCAAGTAAGCAAGTAGAGCTAGTGAGTGGACAAGAGTGAGTGGACAAGTGTGAGAGTGAGCGCGACGGTGGGCTGGTAAGCACGTGATTGGGCTGGTAAGCAGGTGAATGTGAGTGGGCTGGTAAGCAGGTGTGAGTGGGCTGGTAAGCACGTGAGTGGGCTGGTGAACACGTGAATGTGAGTGGGCTGGAAGCAGGTGAGTGTGAGTGGGCTTGTAAGCAGGTGAATGTGAGTGGGCTGGTAAGCAGGTGAATGTGAGTGGGCTGGTGAACACGTGAGTGTGAGTGGGCTGGTGAACACGTGAATGTGAGTGGGCTGGTGAACACGTGAGTGTGAGTGGGCTGGTAAGCAGGTGAATGTGAGTGGGCTGGTAAGCAAGTGAATGTGAGTGGGCTGGTAAGCAGGTGAATGTGAGTGGGCTGGTAAGGACGTGAGTGTGAGTGGGCTTGTAAGCAGGTGAATGTGAGTGGGCTGGTGAACACGTGAATGTGAGTGGGCTGGTAAGCAGGTGAATGTGAGTGGGCTGGTAAGGACGTGAATGTGAGTGGGCTGGTAAGCACGTGAGTGTGAGTGGGCTGGTAAGCACGTGAGTGTGAGTGGGCTTGTAAGCCGGTGAATACACAGTTAGGGAAGTGAGCGCACGAGCCGGTGAGTAAGCAAGGAGATTAGCAGCGTGGGTAGACAATCGAGCGAGTGAGCTCTGTAGTCGGGCGGCCGGGCAAGAGGGTGAGCGAGCGCACCGGCGAGCTGGGCCAGTGAGAGGTGAACAAGCGAGTGGGCGGCGGCGAGCGAGCACACCGTGGGCGAGCGAGCAACTGAGCGGGGAGGGGGCGAGCGGGCGAGGTTGGACGATCGAGCCGAGGGGGTGGGAGGTGCCGGTGGGTGAGGGAGCGGACGAGGAGCCTCACAGGTCCCACAGGAGGACGGTTCGCGAGCCCGAGGCGAGGCTCAGCGTGCAGCAGGCACATGGCGTGACGCCGGCCGCGTGCCGAACCACGAGCGAGGCGTCCACCCCGCAGCGAGAGAAGTCGTCCGTGATGAAACTTCGCGGCGGGGGGGGGGGGGGGGGGGCAGGCGGGGAAGGGATCGGGGCATGGCCATTAGTGGTGGAAACGTACTTCTGTGTTTACGTATGTTGGACTTCTTTCACACCGTACGTAGCCCACCGTGCTAATCGGAGGTGCGGGGGAAGGAAAACAAACTGAACACAAAAACTGAATGCTGGCTGCGTGGATCAGCGGCTCATAGTGGCCGGGTCCGAGCGTCGGCCCCGGACGAGGCTTCCACTCGCCCGCGGTGAAACCAGCTGCTCAGCATACAGCGCGGTGTCAGTCCAGGCCCGTTCACCACGGTGACCCAGACGACGAACCCGGCTGGAACGCTGAGTGGAGGACAGATGGAGCGTGCCTTTGAAGGCTTCGTCATCCGACCGGCGGATCGAGGTACTCACTTTGTTTGCTTTGCCGGAGCGAGCAGCCTGACGGCTGTGTTGAATAGACCGTTGAAGTAGGAATAGGTTTTACCCTTTTAACTGGCACAAAAACTGACACCTTTATTCAAGGCATCTTGTTTGCAATAACCACAACACAAGCAGTCAAAATGCAAACAAAAAAGACAACTCTGATAATAATATGCACTGTCCTTGAATTTGATTGGTCCACACCCGAGACGGCTTTTCTTAGAGCCTAGTCTCCATTGGTGTTGGACCAGAAGACGCCAAAAGGCGTACAACTCAAAAAACAGCGCACTATCAATACTTTGATACTACTATCAATACTTTAGCGCAGTTGCTGAATAATGCAAAGGCCAAAAAAACCCCCTTTGAGACGATGTTTTAAACACCCACGACAGATGCGGACACGTGATTCACATGGCGTCCATGTCTCAGCGCAGAACCAGTTGTGTGAGCCCCTGGGTACAATCTGGGTTTCAGCCACTGGTCGTGAAACCAGAATCTCAATTGCAGTGAGTCGGCCGTCTCGGCCCAGTGCATTTGCAATGCATTTTATTTTTCAATCAACTGATCCTATTCCAGTTTTCAAGGCTTAAGTTACGGTAATAAAAAAAGTATTACAATATATGATGGGTAACGTGTCTGACAATGGCCCCTCTTCAAGGCTATTGCCCGAAACGTTGCTGAGATATATTTTTTTCCCTTTTAAGGTCACAGCGTTATTGACGAATGTTGGGAGTTGCCTGCAGGAGGCAGAAGGAGTGGCCCAAGAAAAGAAACCAGGGAAGGGAACGCACAAACTGTGCCACACAAATAACCGTGCCGGCCCTGTTGTTACTGCTCCCTACATGCACCACGTCGTTGCCTGGACTCACAGTGCAGTACAGATGCATGCGACGACCGTCAATTTGTAAACGCACAGACAAATTGGCGCAGTAGTAACACAGTGGTACCACTCGCGGCTCACAGCCAGCAAGCCTGGGTTCGATTTCTGACTCGGGTGCCTCTCTGCGTGGAGTCTGTATGTTCCCCCCTGCTCTACAGAGTGTGAGGGGGAGTGCAGTGACTAGAACGCTGCGCTACGGACCCGGCGACCCAAGTTCGATTCTCGCTCATGGCCAAGACCAGTGACGATTTTCTGAACCGGTCCTGGGCCTCCCCTAGGTCGACTCAGCCTCAAATGAGTACCTAGTGCGGTGTGTAAACATCAACACTGGGGAGACAAAGGCGGCCGGGCGTGGTGCTGGCCACCCACCCCCTCGTGTGCCATTCCGGCCTTCACAGGTGCTCGCTAACAGCACTTGCCCCAACAGTATGTTAAGGCTATACGGAGGATGTTTGTCTTTGTGGAGTTTGTATGCTCTCCCCCTGTTCTGCAAAGGGATTTTCCCCACGTTCCCCAGTCTCCTCCCACAGCAAATAAAACAGCCAATGTAGCCACTGTCGGCCACAACACCCCAATGATGAAAGATTACCCGCAAATTACACCATTGGCGACGACGCAGTAGCAGCATCGCCCCCTCTTACAAAAAATGGTGTCCCTGCTCTGCTGTTGCCCTGCTATTGCCTGGAGATGCTCGGATCAAGTCTTGCTGATACCCCTATCTCAAGGTGTTGCTTCATACAGACGGCGCATTGCTGTTGCCCGATATTTATGTCGTATAACTTCCATTCGGTATTACATTGTTCACGTTTTGTTCTTACAGATGTAGGAGTGACATTGGTTGTTGGATTATGGTCAAAGTGACAGTTCTACAATCATTAATAATACCGTGAGGTGGTCCACCTTAAACGGCATCCACTGCACCATGGCAGTGGATGCGGATAGCTGATGCACAAATGGAAAATAAAAAAAAAACTCTCCAGCAGTGTACGACTGTGGTCATCCAGAACAAACCGTACAACGCATAACAACGCAATGCCCCGTTCCACAAACACGGCGAGATCACAGCGATACACCACTACGCTGCTCCTCACGTGGTTATCTCGCTGGCCACCTGAATGTGAAATTGTGGTTCTTGCACTGCATCTACATCAGCCGTACGAAAGAAGAAGAGCAAAATAACACGCAAGGGCAGTAGCGTAGTCATAACAACATAATGAAGGTAACGGCAACATTATGGGTAAATCAATGTAACAACAACAATAATAACAACACATATAACACAATAACATACAACAGTAACATCGGTATTAATATAGCACAATTAAGTACACGTAATAAATACGATTACAGTGTCCGAGCTGAGTTTTAACCGATGAAGAAACACAAAGATCCCCCGTATAGCCTTCAACAGACTGTTGGGGCAAGTGCTGTTAGCGAGTAGCACCTATGAAGGCCGGCAAAGCACACGTGGGTGGCCAGCACCACGTCCAGTGACCTTTGTCTCCCCAGTGGCGATATTTACACACCGCACCAGGTACTCATTTGGAGGCTGAGTCGACCTATGAACACAACCTCATTTAAGCAACAATACTTCTGGTTCTCATGCTGAATTGTATCTACAGTATAAAAATCTGATAATCACAGCAGGAGGGCTGTAACAGAATGTGGCAGCAGGGCGCTGTTGCAGGTGCCGTGAGTTAAAGGAGGTTGTGATGCGTGGTGCACGTGGCATGACGACATTACCCGCTCAGGCAGTGCCGAAATCGGTGAGGTGGTGCCCCAATATTTGATTTGTCTCACACGGTCACAAAATGTTACTGCTCTAATTAAACTCAAATAAAATGTGGAACGTAAATGACAGCATTTTCATGAAAAAAAATTTCAATAGCTTTTGGTTTTTTTAATACTTTTGAAAACATATCTCATGGTGGTTGTTAAGGGGGCCCCAACTCGCAACTTTGGCCACCACGGGAAGCCAAGGCACCCCGTGCCGTCACGTTAGTTAGGCTACTGAGTGGGGCGCGTGAGCAGGGTGGAGGAGCGGGAGCGTGGCCTAGTGAGAAGGGAACACGGAGGTGGGCGACCAAGGGGAAGGCCGAAAGCCAGATGGTGGGAGACGTTGGGGTATGGAGTCCCGGTGTCGACTTTGCGACAGCTGGCAGAGAGGAGTCCAATTCCTCGACTGTACCCCTGTGCAGCCGAGTCAGCTCGGCAAGGCTCAGGAGGTGCCAGGTTGTTTTTCCACTGCACAAGCTAAGCCGTGCCGCTGATGTCACACGGAGAGTGGTGACGCGTGTGGATGACGTGCTGATGTCGTACTGACTGAAGTCACAACGCGTCATTAGACACCTTCTTGCGAGGTCAGCATATCCACTGGTAATTATTTACTCAACTCAGCAAATAGCCAGTGGAAAGCCACCAGTAGTGTGGGGTTTCCACACACTGTATATATGTACGTTGAACTTCTTTTTCACCGCACGTAGCCAACCGTGCTAATCGGAGGTGCTAATGTGCCACTGGAAAAGTTGGCAAACGGCACTCACTGAGATGACCTCTTGACATGACCTCTAAATCTCCAGCCAGGGCAACACTCCAAAAGAGGTTTTTTTGGGTTAGATCGCTTAAATATAAATGTGTCGTTAAACCCGCCACCACCCAACACAGCCAATCAGTAAGGTTTGTCACGTGAACAAAATATGCCAATTAGTTACTAGTTCAGCATACCGGTGTGCTGAAGAGTAAACCCACAACATTTACAATTCGAGTACGTTTCGCTGGCCATTACAACAACAACCAGCCTCACCAGCCGACAGCCGGAATTGGCCAGTCGCCTGCCCACCGATCTGCTCGGCGTGGGCAGGCAGGAAGGCCGTGGGCGACAGGGAGAGCCGGGGGGGGGGGTTGCGTGGGTGTTTGCGGAGGTCGGTGCCGACCGGTTGCTGTGGAGGATGGTGCGGCTGCCCGTGCGCCGGTTCGCGATGACCACGGAGGAGGGCGGGGCGCGACAGTTCGCGTGCACGACCACAAGCCCCGCGTCCACGCCGCTCGCCTGCAGCTCCTCCCGCACGAAGCTGCAACAAACGGCGGCGCTCGTGGGGATTCCATTGTTTCGTCCGCGACATCGGCCGCGAGCGACGGGAGCTCGGCGGGGCCGTCGGTGCGCACGTCCCACGTGTAAACGATGCCGACCCGGGTCTCGAGACGCGTTCCGCACGGTCGTGTTTGCTGAATCGTGGATACCAACGTGATGTCTGTCGCTCGTCACTGGAGCAAGTTTGGAATGGAACGTGGCAGGAAAGCGTTGTCGGTGACGTGAGTCCGGGAAGGCTGTAACGGGCGCGGTACGCGGTGCTCTCGGGTTTTTTAACTGCCCCGTCTCTCCACATGCCCACCCTTTTCTTCACCCAACCCCCTCCGGCCTGCTGAGTGAGCTGAGGGGTGCTCACATTCGCTGAGCAGGAATCTAGGCTCGGCCAGAAGTGTGTGGTCAGAATGTCATGATTGAAACAAACATTAAACCGTATTGACTGAACTGCGAATCGACAAACTTGATATAAAATCGACACGTTTGGTAAGTTTTACGCCCTGCGGTGACCTACTGACATCACGACTGGTTTCAGCATCGGCCCAAGCTATTGGTTGGCACTCTTCACCCTTCACCGAGCGTGCTCTCGCGGACACACATGGCGTGACTACGGCACAAGTCTGCCACCGTGGGCCGACGTGACTACGGCACGGGTATGCCACCGTGGGACGCCAGGGCAGCGCCGCCCCGACTGAGCTTCAGTGTCCCTTGGGAGCGGTCGTGGGAACAAGGCGTGCGTCACGAGCTGGGCAATGATAGCTTGACCATAGCAGAGCTGCGCCTTCAATAACTATCTCCACGCTTTCAATAATTTATTGACGTTGTTTACATTATATTCATGCTGTTTTCTTTGTTTAACTCTGCTGTTTAATTCGTTGCACTGAAAGGGCCTGCTTCCTTCGACGATGTATTTGGCGGTGCTGCTGCTGAATCGGCAGTTGGTACACAAGCAGAGAAAAAAACTCAATAAAATCGTGAACAACACTCCCTACTGTGTGATGATTGAAGGGTTTATCTGTTACCCAAAAGCTACTATTCAGGTAAATAATCACTTGCCACCATAAAACAAAACGCGTTAATCGGAAAACACGTTTAACAATGTCACTCTCATCAGGCCCCGTGGTGTAGACAATTGCAGTCTCCAACTCTCATCGTCTCCTCCGTCTCGCTACCGGCCTCTATGTGTGCCATGAAGAAGGGTGCTGCCTGTAATGTCACCCATTTGAGATGTTTATTGTTTTAAAGGCACACACGGTGTGAATGACGAACGTGATAAGTTGGTTTGTTTAATGTTACAATGTGTGCCTGTGCATGATGTTACCTGCCGAGGTATGACTGGCGGCACGACAAGCTGGGTGGCACTTATTATGTTTGTTGCCCACGAAGTCTGAATCTGAATTGGCTGCACTGGACCATGTCTGCTGTTCAGATCGATCGGTCTGATTCACGTCTCGTTCAGATTAATAATTCTAGTTCTATTTAAAGCTTTCGTGACTGCAGGGATTCATCTTCTTGGTTCTTTCGGTAAAGTCACCACGTAGAATGGAAATAAAATAATAAAAATAAAACAATAAATTTACGTTATATTTTTATTATAAAATTATGTTTTATTTCTATTATTTTATTTCCATTCTATGTGACTTTACCGAAAGAACCAAGAAGATGAATTCTAGTTCTAATCGGCTTTTACCTGGTCTTAAAATAAAGGACCTGTAAAATCAATACAGCACGGGGCTTTTATCATTCAGTCGAGACATGAGGTGAATGAATGTCATACAGGAACTTCCTTAGTCAGCATAGCGTTGCATCATGGATGAGAAGGGCCCTGGAAGTTGACTCCGCAGAACTGCTTCTGAAATCACTGCAGCCAGTCTGTTACCCATCACTACCCGGCGCTTCTCACCGCACAATGATTGGTTTATCACAAGTCGGGCATCTTGTAGGCATGTTTTTTGGAGCCTAACTTTGCGGGTGTCTTGAATAACATCACAGCAATCACTGGCACTGGCTAAATAATAATAATGACGATAGTAAAAACGATTATTTCTTCAGCCTGGTGTGCAGGAAGTCGTGGGTTCAATCCGTACCCTGACGCCTGTATATTTGGAGTTTGTACGTCTCTCTCCCCGTAGTTGCGTGGATTTTTCTCCAGGCCTTCCAGTTTTTCCTTCCATGCGTTTAGAGTATTTGGCTGCTATAAATTTTCACGTGATAAACAACTTCGTTGAGCTATCATTTGTGGCCAGGTCGCATCTGAAACAGAGTTTAATAGCTCAGTGGGCTTTACCTGGTAAAATAAAAATAGCTTAGTTTAATTAGAAAAAGTTTAGTTTAGTATACACGGCATGTTTTAAATTAGTAAACTAGTAAAAATTACTTTCATGGCCAATGTCACAATTCACAATAGATTTTTTGGGTCAGTAAATCAGCGCGTCTGTTCATGCTACAACTTCATTTATTTGGCCGTGTCGTCGGGTGGAGGAGGGTGTACGACACACATTGGCATTTCACTCAAGCATAAATCTGACGCCAAAAATAAATTGTGAATCGGAAGTTTAATTATCTCTGTAGGTCTTCTCATGCACAAACAAGCACAATGGGTGGTTCTAATCTCAATTGGCCGTCCTGAGCCGGTGGTGTTAAAATTCCACGTCCCCGCGGCTCGAGCCAACTGCCGGTGACTCACCGCACAGTGGAGTTTAACTGGTGGCACTCATTGGTGGCGCTCATTAACTGGTGGTGCTCATTAACTCATTAACTGGTGGCGCTCATTAACTGGTGGTGCTCATTAACTCATGAACTGGTGGCGCTCATTAACTGGTGGTGCTCATTAACTCATTAACTGATGGCGCTCATTAACTCATTAACTGGTGGCGCTCATTAACTCTAACTGGTGAAGAGTGGAGGCAATGCTGGCTAGGATTTGAACCATGTTTGAGTTGAGATCCCATGAGGGATTACTCAATTGGGATTATACACAGCGATCAAGCATAGCCTCCTACTGGTAGACTGATGCCCCACGCCACGTTTGCAACTCAGACTATCCTGGCCTCTATAGCTCTCCCACTTACTAAATGGCTCACCCACCATCTCACTCACCCACTCCATCACCACAGATTAATTTACCCACTCATTCACCCACGCACACATTCTCTCACTAACTCACTCTAGCAAATGAGACTCATCCTGCCCTCTTCAACTCTCACTTGGTTAACAGAATAAACTTGACTTAACCCTTTCACATTCCACAGAGCGGGTCCTGTTCACCGCTGAATCTCGGAACGCGCACGCGGCTGGCATTAATTTTATTGAGAGGCGTCGCGCCATTGCACTCACCGCAGAGAACTGTAGCGACACGACCGCACACTATAATAGCCGGTGCAAAGCTGTGCCACATGCCCTCTCGCATGGCCTTGTGGGAGCCTCGGTACGTCTTCAGGTCAGAAGACGTGCCAATAAATGGTTTCTTCTTCTGATTCATTTCCGACGACGTTCGTGTACTGATGACATGCACGTACGTCGTCGGAATGGGAAAGGGTTAACTTGATCCCTATAGCGCTACCCAAACGCAGATTCTCGCCAAGATGCAGCTTGGTGGATACTTATGCGAATGATAATGATGATAATAATAATGTACATTTATTTATCCAGGAAGCCATCATGTCTCTTTAGATTCATAAATATAAACTCGTTCAAGCGCATTTATCGTATGGTTAGCTGTTGGCACTAAAGTTGACATGCCTACTCTCAAGACTTTATTATTCGAGCTGGTAAGGTCCCATTGAAGTTAAGCAACTCTGTTCCAAGCACAGCCACAGCCAAGGACCATCGGCAGTGGTGGCAGCTACAGGCCGTCGCAGTTACATAGAGTTACACAGAAATCCATAGACTCAGGTTTTATTCAGCTGGTAAGGTCTCACTGAGCTAAGCCGCTGTTACAAGGACGACCACAGTCCAAGACGGTCGCCAGCGGCGTCAGCTAACCAGAGCAGAAAACAACTATTTACACAAAAACTCAACCAATCTCCTGACCTCCTAATGTTCACTCTGTTTGGGTAATGTTTGATGGTGTAGGTAAATCTACACCATCACATGTATGTATGCATGCTGAACTTCTTTCGCACCGTACGTAACCAACCGTACTAATTGGAGGTGCTGCGTTGCCTGTCAGGGGACGTGGAATGGTTTAAAACTACTTCACTCTGTGCCCTGCTGCTGTCATTTTTGTTACTGCATGCACCTTCTCAAGCATGCTGTTCTTGCTCGGTGTCAAGGTCTCATGGTAATTTCACAATCGCCTAATTGTAGTGAGAGTGTTATTTTTCTTAGTTGTCTGCAGAAATCGTTAATTTTGCTAAAATGTTCGAATTAATGGCGTATGACCAAACAACCGTCAGACATAAGATCCTAAGCAGGCCTGAGCCTGGATATCGCTTGCATGGGTGACCACCGTGCATTACACAGGTGCAGTCGTCAGCTGCTGCTAGCGTACGCTGTCAGCGGAGGGTAGTGCAGTAGAATTCATTGTTGTACTGTACCACGCTACAACTTTTATGCTCCCCGCCATCCCCAAATACATTCCTGCGGAGGGAGCTGGTAGGAACGTTGGGTTGCTCGGTCAATGGCCAGGGTCAACGGCGGTGTGGTGTATTCCGCAAATATGCCCGACTGTGAGGGCGGGCACAAGCCGGCGTGAGTAGGTTAAACGTTGAGTTTTATAAGGGCACCACGGGGTGACCAGCCCCTCCCCACCCAGCCCCACCCTCCCACCCCCCATCCAGCCCCACCCTCCCCACCCAGCCACTCCCCACCCTCCCCACCCAGCCCCTCCCCACCCTCCCCTCCCCACCCAGCCCCACCCTCCCCACCCAGCCCCTCCCCACCCTCCCCTCCCCACCCAGCCCCTCCCTCCCCACCCAGCCCCTCCCCACCCTCCCCTCTCCACCCAGCCCCACCCCTCCTATTTTTGGATGCACGACGGACGGACAGAATAATCCCCTGTGGGCTGGTGTAACCAGGAGGTTCCTACCAGTACTAACACCGACCAGCTTGGTGAATTATAATCAATTAACCCTCACGGCTACTACAGTGAGGGAAAAAAGTATTTGATCCCCTGCTGATTTTGTACTTTTACCCACTGACAAAGAAATGATCAGTCTATAATTTTAATGGTAGGTTTATTTGAACAGTGAGAGACAGAATGACAACAAAATCCAGAAAAACGCATGTCAAAAATGTTATAAATTGATTTGCATTTTAATGAGGGAAATAAGTATTTGACCCCTCTGCAAAACATGACTTAGTACTTGGTGGCACATCCCTTGTTGGCAATCACAGAGGTCAGACGTTTCTTGAAGTTGGCCACCAGGTTTGCACACATCTCAGGAGGGATTTTGTCCCACTTCTCTTTGCAGATCTTCTCCAAGTCATTAAGGTTTCGAGGCTGACGTTTGGCAAATCGAACCTTCAGCTCCCTCCACAGATTTTCTATGGGATTAAGGTCTGGAGACTGGCTAGGCCACTCCAGGACCTTAATGTGCTTCTTCTTGAGCCTCTCCTTTGTTGCCTAGGCCGTGTGTTTTGGGTCATTGTCATGCTGGAATACCCATCCACGACCCATTTTCAATGCCCTGGCTGAGGGAAGGAGGTTCTCACCCAAGATTTGACGGCACATGGCCCCGTCCATCGTTCCTTTGATGCGGTGAAGTTGTCCTGTCCCCTTAGCAGAAAAACACCCCCAAAGCATAATGTTTCTACCTCCATGTTTGACGGTGGGGATGGTGTTCTTGGGGTCATAGGCAGCATTCCTCCTCCAAACACAGCGAGTTGAGTTGATGCCAAAGAGCTCCATTTTGGTCTCATCTGACCACAACACTTTCACCCAGTTGTTATCTGAATCATTCAGATGTTCATTGGCAAACTTCAGATGGGCATGTATATGTGCTTTCTTGAGCAGGGGGACCTTGCGGGCGCTGCAGGATTTCAGTCCTTCACGGCGTAGTGTGTTACCAATTGTTTTCTTGGTGATTATGGTCCCAGCTGCCTTGAGATCATTGACAAGATCATCCCGTGTAGTTCTGGGCTAATTCCTCACCGTTCTCATGATCATTGCAACTCCACGAAGTGAGATCTTGCATGGAGCCCCAGGATGAGGGAGATTGACAGTTCTTTTGTGTTTCTTCCATTTGCGAATAATCACACCAACTGTTGTCACCTTCTCACCAAGCTGCTTGGCAATGGTCTTGTAGCCCATTCCAGCCTTGTGTAGGTCTACAATCTTGTCCCTGACATTCTTGGAGAGCTCTTTGGTCTTGGCCATGGTGGAGAGTTTGGAATCTGATTGATTGATTGCTTCTGTGGACAGGTGTCTTTTATACAGGTAACAAGCTGAGATTAGGAGCACTCCCCTTAAGAGTGTGCTCCTAATCTCAGCTCGTTACCTGTATACAAGACACCTGGGAACCAGAAATCTTTCTGATTGAGAAGGGGTCTAATACTTATTTCCCTCATTAAAATGCAAATCAATTTATAAAATTTTTGACATGCGTTTTCTGGATTTTTTTTGTTATTCTGTCTCTCTCTGTTCAAATAAACCTACCATTAAAATTATAGACTGATCATTTATTTGTCAGTGGGCAAACGTACAAAATCAGCAGGGTATCAAATACTTGTTTCCCTCACTGTATGGTGTCGGGAGGCCCTCACGCAGCAGTGGCTCGCAAAAGGGCTGTAAATGATTATCAATTATTAGGCTTTACGGATATAAATATTATAATAAAAATGACCTCACAGCGACCTACCGAGCATTCCGCTCACTGGGCCGCTCTGAAGATGTATCTGCAGGCCGCCATGCAAACCTCCTCTCAGTGGCCGCGTCCTCCCGCACGTCGGCGAACTGTCGTGTGCCCTAATGCTCCGAGGCATCGGGGAGCTGAGGGGAGTGGTTTGTGGTGGCGGTGGTGAGGTGCGGCAGTGTCTTACTCTGCGACTCTGCCTGCAGCCAGCGTCCCCATGAAGGCGCAGGGCACCCCGAGCTGGGACAGAACCGTGCAGGTGTTGGACGCATTCCCCCCTCGCTGCCAGCGCTGGGACACGCATCTGTGGGCACGCGGAAAAAGACAGCGGGATTCGACTGCCGCATCCGAGGAAGGCCAGCGGGGTGGGCAAATTACCCACCCCCGATTCGGGCAAGAAGTGACGAAAAAAAATAACAATACTTGTATAGGACTCTATCGAGGCCTTGAAATTGGAGTGACACTTTAAATCCTTAACGACCCTAACCCTTTTTAACCCTTTTCAACCAACGCTCGCCTGGTATAAAGGAGGCCATGGGTTCGATTCCGACCCTGATGCCTGTTGTATATTTGGAGTTTGCATGTTCTCCTCGTGGTCGCTTGTATTTTTCTCTGGATCCTCCGGTTTTTCCCTCCACATTTAGAAACATGCGTTTAGAGTATTTGTCTACTATAATTTTTGATATGATACGCCACTTCAGTGAGCTATCATTTGTGGACAGTTCAGTGGGCATGACCGGGTGGTAAAATAAAAAAAAAATAGTTTTAGTTTATTTAAATACCACAGCATCCCTATGCCCTTCACATCAAAATTTGATCTGAACCGCTCAAAGGGCACCCTCAGTGGCAGCTGTCCCTTGCAGCAGCGCCTGGCCTGCAAGTGCCCACGAGTCTTTTCAGTAGGGGGGCGATAATCGCTGCGCATAATCTGTTTTCAAAAGGGGAATAAAGCAGCGTGCGCTTGAAAGGGCGGAGATGAAGATGCTTCTTCGATGGACGTTGAGAATATCTCTTTAAGGGGAAGGAGGAGGAATGAAGAGGGTAGGTGGGGCGATGAAATCCTCTCGGGAGCGTCTAAATGCAATCTCGTCTGAAGTCACGGTGCAAAAACAGTGCAACACGCATTGCGACAAGCAAACACGAACGAGGGAGAGCGGTAGCGCAGTGGTTAGTGCAGCGCTCTACAAACCCGGTGACCTGAGTCCGATTCCTGGCCACAGGAAGCCTTTTGTTGTTGTAACGTTCTGATCTGCCCCTACTGGTTATCTGTGAAAAGGAGCTTAACAGCTCATCGGATTCCTCCGGACTAAATAAATATTCAATAACACAAGAGGCGAGACTTGAAAATATAACAAGAGCAATGAGTAAATTAACAAGATGGATTGTGCAGTAGAAAAGAGTTCCTCGTCATGCATTGAGAGTGAGAGGAAAGCTGGAGACACGGACAGCTACAGGCGGCTGCAGACAGCAGAAGAGGCTGCAAAGCAGAAGGAGCAACTTCTCCTCCTCGTGTCGAGGTGCCTGGTGATGGAGAGGAGGAGAGGAGAGCGCAGCAGCGTGCTCTGCAGTGGAGGGAAGATATGAGATCAGAAACACGGTCGTGGTCGCTTCAGTAATCACTTCAGTAAAACGCACATCCCTCCACATCATTACGTCCATTCTCACCAATTTAGACAAAATAATCACTTAGTGCGCGTGGTATTTGCACCATCCTTACAGTGCAAGGCAATCATGAGGTTTGAGGCACAGTGTTTCAGTTTGTAGCAGTTTCAAAGTAAGCAGCGATATTGCTGTATAATCCCAATTGAGTAATTTGAGGTGTAAAAATAGACAATTTTTACTAATACACTCGCACACAAAATCCTACTTTTTTCGGATTACATCAGTGGACCTGCAACGTCCGTTGAGCAGCAAGACTACGCTAAGAAATCTATGGTTAATTTACCGTGCAGTAATAACCAGGGCGTCCTGCCGGATTCGAACTCCAACCCTTTGCAACGCGTGGCCGCATGCGCTGGGGCATGCCGCGTGAACCGGTCAGAGGCGGTGCGGGAAACTTCCCAAGGAGCCAAAATATTGGCCCTACATTAATACAAAAAAACACCCATTCAATGCATTGTCCCTGGTAAATATTAACACAACTAATAATCGGGGTCACGGAGGAAACTCTTAGAACATCAAAGGGATATGTTAGAGCAGTGACTCTTCTTCCTAACCCAGGGTGCACGCACCCTCTGGGGGGGTGCGAGATGACCTTTCTGGGGGTGCGAGACATGGCCAGATGTCTTTCGAAAGTAAATAATCGAAACACAAATTAAGCACGGGCACGTCAGTACAACTACTTTGTTTCATCAAACCCTCTGTGTGTACAGTATAAAGATTAAACATTTTTAACGATTGAGAATCAAAGGGGATGCAAGGCTGTAGTAAAGGTTGAAGAACCACTGCTTTAGAGTAATCCATACCTTTTGATTTAAAGCTTTCGTGACTGCAGTAATTCATATTCTTAGCTCTTTCGGTAAAGTCACGTTCAAGGGATACAATAAAATAATAATATTGTTATATATATTTTATTATTTTATTGTTTCCCTTCAACGTGACTTTACCGAAAGAGCTAAGGATATAATCCATACCTATTCTTGGTTCTTTCGGTAAGGTCACGTAGAAGGGAAACAATCAAATAGTAAAAATATAAAACAATAAAATTCTCACGACGTTTCGACTGCAACACAAGCAATCATCATCAGGTGTGAAAACCACAGCAAGAAAATTTGAAAAAAGTGGCGTTTTTTTTAACCTTAGCACCACGGAGAGCGATTTGGCAGTTATTCAGATGGACGAGTCCATCTATGTTCGGAAAAGAGGAGGGGGGAGACGAAAATAATAATGCATATCCAACCAGGAACACATAGCCAGTGAACTCAAGCACATGTACCAAGCTCTTAAGGCTAATGGTTACTCCGACTACACAATCCGCAAAGCTATCACTCCAACCATGAAGAAGGACCCTCTTGAGGAGCCATTCAAAACCATCACTTTACCTTACATTGTGGGGTTCACAAAAAAGATCTCCAAAATCTTGAATAAACACAAGATCCAAGTCCGATTCAACACATTACATAAAATCCGTGATCTGGTTCCGTTTGTAAAAGATGTGATTCCGGACATACAGTACCCTGGCGTCTACAAACTAAGTTGCCTCTGTGGTAGTAGTTGCATTGGAGAAACCAAACGACATGTCTCGGACCGCATTCGTGAACACAAAGCAGACCTAAAACACGGTAGGACCAACACCTCGGCCGTGGCAGATCACTGTTATAATTCAGTAGGCTCACATGACATTGACTTCTCCAAGACAGAGGTTCTCTGCAAGCCATCTGGCTACCATGAGAGATTCGTTCATGAGGCTATCCACATATACAAACACAGAGACAATTGCAACCGAGAAGATGGATTCTGGCTTAGCAATCATTGGAAGGATTTGATAAACCATTTCAGGTCTTAATTGATTGTTCACGCTTATAGTGGCTTTCAGACCACATCGATTATTTTCGTCTCCACCCTCCTCTTTTCCGAACATAGATGGACTCGTCCATCTGAATAACTGCCAAATCGCTCTCCGTGGTGCTAACGTTAAAAAAACGCCACTTTTTAAAAAATGTCTTGCTGTGGTTTTCACACCTGTTGATGATTGCTTGTGTTGCAGTCGAAACGTCGTGAGAATTTTATTGTTTTATATTTTTATTATTTTATTGTTTCCCTTCTACGTGACTTTACCGAAAGAACCAAGAATATGAATCCCTGCAGTCACGAAAGCTTTAAATAAAAATTTAATCCATACCTGTCGACCCAGACGGTTTATCAGTATTCTTGTACAGGGAAATTGAGTTTTCAGGTTCATACGGCGTACAGCCGTTTCAATACGGGCAACAAATGTTTTTGTTTGTCTATTTGTTTGTGTTTCTCCCTTGTGATGGGACTTTGTAAGGGGCACGGGGTGACCAATCAGGTCTGGACTGGTCTGTAATAAGGTAGAGGGCACTCATAAGGGGTTGACAGGTATGGTAATGAAACACGTTTTAAATAATCTTACGTGCTATGAAGGGCCATTGCCCGAAACGTCGACTTACGTTTTTTTCCTTCCTTTGAATGCCACACACACGCGGTGCTACTGAAGAACCCCCAGGTTGTTATGACCATTGTGCTAATGCAATCACTGACAGCGAACAAGCATGAGGCGACGTCACAGGGCCTGAAGACGGCGAAGCGCGTGGCCGGCGATGACGTCACCACACCCGCTCGCCAGGCGTGTGGGCGACGTCATGTAATCGCCTCGATCGGGGGGGCGCGGCAATGACGCCATGTAGCAACGTTGACTTGGTGCGATGACGTCACGTGCTGTTTACGTCCTCAAGGGCGTGAGGCGGGGGTCAAATTGCATGTGTCCGCTCGTGCTCTGCACCTGATGGCCGCTTGCGTTGCGAGCGAAACGTCCGAGTTATTTTTTACCTATCTACGTGACTTTATCGAAAGACCCAAAGAATATGTACAGTGCTGTTGCTCAATTCAATGCTGACAAGTGTAAAAATGAGTTACCCCATTCTCTTCTATCACCATCGCAGCACAAGTGACCATAAGCATCACATTTGTGCGGGGAAGTCAACGGCGATTCTTGTCCACTGGTATATAATTGACGCGCCCGTCCCCCGCCCTAGGAATGTGGAAATGTCTACCACTGGCTCAGCAAAGGGGGACTCTAATGGGGAGGGCACCAACGCCTCAACGATGCTCATTCTGAGCGACGGGACACCACGTCGACTCGATCCTCCTACGGCTCATAGTCAAGAAACGTGAACCGTCAAGATGTAGAGAGAGAGAGATCACGACTCTCTCCCCAACGTCAGCCTCAAGCGGCGCCACGCACTCGCCATGGTCGTCTGAAGCGACGTTAACATTGTTTGGTCCGAACAAAGACTTCGCCACGAGCGAGCGAGCCCCGTGCCGTGTGGTGAGCCGCTCGCCATCACGCGCAGCCCCGCGCAAGCTGTTGGGGCGAGTGTTGTTAGCGAGCACCTATTAAGGGCCACGCACCCACCACTACGGTTACCTCCACCACCACCACAACACGACCCAGAGCATCGTGCGGCTGGGTGGCTCTAACACAGAGGGGTCGGCGAACCTCTGAGCCGCATGCGGCTCATTAAGTACCGCTTCGTGACCCCCGTCACGACGTACTCACGTGCACTGCGGCGCTGGAAATATTGTTTGTTTATTTTAACCGAATTAGAATAATAACGCCTCTCGTTGCCGTCGTTTTAACCGAATTAGAATAATAACGCCTCTCGTTGCCGTCGTTTTAACCGAATTAGAATAATAACGCCTCTCGTTGCCGTCGTTTGCCGACCCCCTGCTCTTGACACGACGCGCTCGGGGTGACGGGGCGTTCGAGATGGCGAGCGGTGAGCGCGGGTGGCAGGCACCTCGTGTCCGTGTCCTCCTCGGGGTACGAGTCGACCACGCTGATGATGTCCAGGCACACGAGTCCCACGCACAGCACACGGCCGCGAGGAGACATCCTCACCGCCGCTCACACGGCCACGACCACGGCGCTCTTCGTGTACACTCCGGCCGGGGGGTCAAAGGCTGCATGCAGCCAGTCGCGTAACGAGCTTTGGGGCGGGGGGGGGCAGGGGGTGCCTTGCACGCACTGTATGTGTGTATGTTGGACTTCTTTCGCACCGTACGTGCCTATCAGAGGTGCGGGGGAAGGACAACAAACTCAAGAAATGAGTTTGTTAATCAGGCCGCAGAAGCGCATGTGAAAGCGCCGCGCGATGCGGTGACCACCGCCGTTGTTCGATGGCGATAGCCAGAAGCCGCCGCTGCTGCCGCTGCTGCTGCGAGGATGACCGGAGCTGACAAGACGATGGTTGTGCTCCTTCACGAGAGGAACGTAAACCATCACCCCCCTGGTGGCCAAAGCTACGAGTTGGGGCCCCCTTGACAATCACTATGAGATTTGCTTTCAACAGCAGTGTAAAAATAACACTTATTTAAAACGCAGTTTAAATATATATTTTTATAAAAATGCTTTCATTTACGTTCCAGGTTTAATTGTTACTTAGAGCAGTAAAGTAATATTGCAAAGGGTTCGTACGGAGCGGTCGGTAGTGGCCGCATTTTAGCGATGACGGAGCGCCCCTGCACCGTTAAATGTTCGAGACCGTGAGCGCATGAATGTCGCTTACCGCACTCCGTGAGCTCATGCTGTCGTTACTACGCCACTGCTGTCGCGATGTTTGACACGTGGTAGGCTTTCGCGACCAATATCATCCACAATACACGTTTCTTTGGGGTTAGATCGCGTATATATGTGCTTTTGCTCTGTCTCGCTCAACCAAAACAACGGCCTGGGAAAATAATCATGCAGACGCATGGATTCCTCCTACTCAGCTCGTTCAAACGTGCGCTTCTCTTCGGAAGCGCTGTATTGAATTATCTACGCTCGGTTCGCTTGTGTAAGTATACTGAACTTATTTCGCACCGTACTTAGCCAAACAACAATATTAAAAAAAACCGTAGTCACCTCACTGCGGTACCTTAGAATTTGATTTAAAGGTCCAAGGATCATATTCACCGCGGACCCCTTGAGAATCGATTGCCAGATCGCGCGACCGGAATCGACGATTGGCTGCCGCCCAAACCTCGACGAATGGGACGCACCGCTTCTCCATCACGTGGGGTAGAGGGGGAGGGGCTGTGCCGCCGGCCGGCCAATGGGGAGACTCCTATGGAGCCCGTGTGAGGAGGCGCTACCTGCGTTGCCGTAGAGGCGGCCCCGAGTGGAGGCCTTTGAGAGGCGGCCCTCTCTTGCCCCCCACGTTACCCCCTCCCCCGACACCACAACTCGGGGTGATTGTTCGTTCGCGAGTCGCGGGGCTTCTCCCGAACCCGTGACGCCTGCGGGGACGGCGCGCCTAGGATGAGCGCAGGTGAGCGCTCGCTGCTTGCCGCCGCGCGCAACCCCGCGTTGCCTGCGGGCCCAGGCGCGCGATCATCGGCAGAGCTCGCGGGCGAGGCGAGGGGGCTGCGTTCCTGAGCAAGGCCCGAGTGGAGTTTGCACGGAAAAATCGGTGAGGTTATCACGTGCCGGTGGTAACAGTGAGGTTACCACCTAGCAGTGGTGACGGTGAGGTTCATTGTTACCAAGGGTAACTAACCAGTGGGAAGAGTGAGTTTAACACGTACCAGTTATAACGACGAGGTTACCACGTATTAGGGGTAACTTTGGGGTTACCACCTACCAGGGATAATAGTGAGGTTACCACTTGCCATGGGTAACATTGAGGTTACTGCTTATTAGAGGTAACGGTGAGTTTAACAGGGGTAACTTACCAACACGGTGGGGTGACACTTAACACTGATATCTGATTAACGCGGATAACACTGCTGATAACAAGAATAACACTAAGGTTAACACATCACTCGTGCCAACATGGATAACACTGAGGTTCCTAACATGCCGAACACTGATGTTAACGCTAATACAGTATTCCTGTTGCAGTGGTCAATATGGTCTTACTCTCATTCTCTCATCTTCCGTGTTTTGCCCGTGAATATTTAAAGCGGCTCATGCCACTTTGTAGACTCGCACGGCGAAGTAAATATGTATGGTGTGTACAATGCCTCATCAACATAAAAGTGATCTTTGACCGTTTACCTCCATCTGTGTATGGTTGTTTTGGCACAATTTAGTGTATTAATTACAGGGTTTTCTACACATGCCAGTGTTTGCATCGCTTCCATTATCCCAGCTATACAAGTACATTGAGCTGCAAGCGCTCTGGTGCCAATCACTCTCACCGTGGTGAACTCTGGCGTGTTGCGTCGGGTCGTCATTGTTTATGATAGTATAGACCTGTTTATTCTGAGCTGCACTAATCTTTTGATCCCATTGTAAGGCACGGCATGTGTCGATAGGATATACACCATTGCATTGGTTAACGCTATACTTAGCATGGTATATATGTACAACTCCACAGTATTGATTAACACAACACTTAGCGAATATAAGCTATATGTGTATTCTGTCAGCACCTTGAAAATACAATATATACGATTCAGAAGACATCTACGATATGAGGCTAAGTATCCTTTCAGGTAAGTCGCAACAAATAGAGCCTTCCGTTGTCACTTTGGGTAATGGCCCTGGAAGAGGCGGAGGAGAAATAACATAGTGCGGTTTCATTGTACACGTGATAGGCCTCTTGTACTGTGTACAAGCCAGCTCTTCTTTACACTCTGAAGTGTGTGGGTTGGTGTTTGCATGCTTTTCTAAACCAATGTCCAGTTTAATAACTTCCCATTGCTCGGACAGACGTGGGTGCTGCATGTGCAAAAAACAAAATGAATGTGTCACAGACTGGGTCCGAAATAATCGTACTTGGTACGCCCGGTCACCTGGCTTAGTACGCTCGCGTGGCTGGGAGCCAGGGGACTGTAATCCCCTCCCTGTTTTGATTTAAAGCTTTCGTGACTGCAGGGATTCATATTCTTGGTTCTTTCGGTAAAGTCACGTAGAAGGGAAACAATAAAATAATAAAAATATAAAACAATAAAATTCTCACGACGTTTCGACTGAAACACAAGCAATCATCATCAGGTGTGAAACCCACAGCAAGAAATTTTGAAAAAAGTGGCGGTTATTTTTAGCACCACGGAGAGCGATTTGGCAGTTATTCAGATGGACGAGTCCATCTATGTTCGGAAAAGAGGAGGGGGGAGACGAAAATAATGGATGCGCTCTGAAAGCCACCGTAAACGTGAACAATCAATTAAGACCCGAAATGGTTTATCAAATCCTTGCACTAATTGCTAAGCCAGAATCCATCTTTTAAAAATTATTTTATTGTTTCTTTTCTACGTGACTTTACCGAAAGAACCAAGAATATGAATACCCCTCCCTGTTGTTCTAGATGGTGGTGTCTGGCCCGTGCCGTCTGACTCCGTGCCGTATGGCATCCTCATTTACAAAACATGCGACATCCAGCCCTTGTCCGTGTTCCCACTACATGCTTGTGGTTTACAGCGCGTAAACTTTAGACAAAGCAGCACAATTCATTCGCTTTCTCTCAGCGCTGCCGTAAGTAATGTCCAATTCGTTGCCCGCTGCAGCGTGCTGATTTTGTTGTTATAATTTTTTGTTAACATGATTTCGGTAATTTGTGGATTTTTTTTTAAAGCGCAGGGAACTTTTTTTGGCACATTTTGCAACACTAGCTGTAGTACATTTTTTTGCTTTGATTAATCTGAACAGCTTAGTGCTAAACTAAACCATTCACGCATTGCCAGATAATTATGTAATTAGTGCATATGAGAGCCCATCGAGATCCATTATCTCATTTGCAAGGCAAGCTGTGACACGACAGTATTGCCACGTAGGGACTGTCACTGTTAACTCGTTGGAGTAATATTAAAATGTTTTCTTTGACACTGGCACGTGATGTTCCACATTTGTAAATTATTGCAAAGGGCGTTTGTTTTCTCCAGAGTATGTTTCTCACATTGGTATTTTGTTTGTTTGTTACAAGTTACCAGAATAATGTATGCCGGAATAGAAATGTCAACACAAGTGCACATGTACTGCTTTTAGACTTACGGGCATTTTAAGTAAGAAACATGAATAAGACAACAGATAGACGTGAGGAACAGCATAATATCCCTTAATACGTACATTAGTGGCGATGAAAGGCAGGAGGAGTGGTGAGACAATTTAAAACGTTGGTGGAAGTGCGATCAGATAGGAGAGGAGAAAGGTCACAAACTATTTGGAAGGGGATAATGAAACATTCTCGAGCTGAAGCACACGCGTGGAAGGATGAGATGTTGGTGTGACGCGGTTCGCTTTGTGAGCTCGCATGATGAGCCAAGTAGCATCGTGCTTGACTGTCCGTAGTCGGAATTGTTAAGGGTGGGTGAGTTTACCTCTGGGTGGCTGCATGAACATTTGAGGTTTGTGCAGTAGGCTTTAGGACACACATGGCTGTGTAAAGTTCTGTGGAATGCTAAATCGTAATCCCAACACTGGGCTGCCTACAGCCAGTGGTATAGGTCGATGGGAAAGAACTCCTCTACTTATGGTGGGTGCTTTATATTTTTACTGCGGCTGTAAAAGTTCCGCATTCCAAGGTTGTGAACTATTAACCTAAAGCGTATATGTAGAGTAATGTACGATGAAGTACTTGGCTTCAATGTATGTGCTGTAAAAATAGTTACTTCCTTAGAGTGCTTTGGTCATTTGTATAAAACACCTGAAGTGATGTTTCCTCTCACTTGTTTGTGCGTTAAATTCCGTGTCTTTTGGCCACTGGGCTCCTGATTGTAATGGCCAAAGTTCAACCCCAAGTCATGGTCTACTTGGTCCAGACTCACCAAGATGCCCAGGCTGGTACATAACAATAATTACTTATTTACCCGGCCAAGTCAGACTGAGTCCACAATTTTTTAAGGAAGGTCCTGTAATGGGATGTTTGGCTAACAACGATGACGTTGGTATAACGAGCATCACTTGGTGCGGCTGGACTGTTTGATGGGAAATGAACGGGCAGACTTGGCTCCACAGTAGAAACACGGCGTCTGCACAGTAAAGGTGCGTGTTCCGTGCATGCTGCACCACAGTGCAGTGGTACTGCACATTGTTTCTGTGTGTGAGTGGCGAGCTGCTGCTGCAAACAGGCTGTGCAGATAAACGTGTCGGTTATAGAGCTCATGCCTTGGGGGCAATTATGCGCAACCAGTCCACTCAGGCTCACTTGCGCATGCATTTCCTAGTTTCCCGGTGTGCGAACATCACGGCCTGGTGCAGCCACACTTTTTCTTTTATTCCAGCACCTAAGCCACTGGAACGCACCCGCTCTTATCGGACCTCGGAAGCTAAGCAGGTTTGAGTCTAGATGGTGCTTTGATGGGTGACCACAGCCATGCACAAACAGGTCGCCATAGTGCTTTGTGGCGCCCGTGGTGGGCAGCAGTGCAGCAAAATGGATTGTTGTATTGTACTTTGTTCCCTTCACCAACCCCCCACGTAGTGAAGTATGGTCAAATAACCCTCACGACCTGTTTGGCATGGGGATGCCACAAATCCACGTGTGGCTTGACAAAGGCTGCACGTTCATGTCGTCTCAAAATACAGAGACAGGGCAACAACACAATGGATGAGGAAGGAAAAATGTAAGGAGCTCAGGGTGAATGGAATTGTGTCATTTTCCCACGCAAACAACAGAGATGGTTGACATTTGTAGCCTGGATTAAAACAGTGGGAGTCAGAAATGCATAGACATGTCTAAAAGCCATGTCACATTGTAAGGCACAGCATGGGGGAGAACAAGGGACTTCCTGTATGGATTTTCTTGGAGAGAAGACAGTTATTACTCATATTTGAATATACATTAAACATTTAATGTTCTTAGATTGGTAATGTTTAGCAGGGCGGTGTTGGTCCTGGCACATGCCTATCATTTAGCACTGTCGAGGCGAGGGTTAGTGGATCACGCAGTGTGCAACACGCTTCCCATGGGCATCGGGGTGCCATGCCCAGCATATCTGCACCCAAACTTTTCGAGTTGTACGGGAGAGAGTGTTGCTCCCTCACACATGTGGGTTTTCTCTGGGTACTTTAGTTACCTCCCGCATGTAAGCAGTTATTCATTGGCCAATGAGACCTTCATGTATAGAGAGGACCACAAAGCTTTGGAGGCAATTTGGTGCCGGCTCACCACGTGACTGCTTTCCCACCCGCCTGTGGTTCCTCCTCGCGCCTCTGAGTTGTCCTCTCCTTCCAAAGCGAGGAGTGAATGTTGTATGTACGTTGAACGTGTGTCGCACCGTACGTAGCCAACCGTACTACTTTGAGGTGCGGGGGAAAGGACAACAATCTAAGCAGTTCTAAAGAAATAAGTTTTTAATCTAGATTTAAAAGTGCATAGCTCCAGTGGTTTCTTAATAGCGGCGGCAGTGCATTGCAAGGTCACATTAAAATAACATTAAGTCACGTGGGTATGACTGACTTCCTGCACATTCAAATGTTAATGTTTTGTAACTTGTGAACTGGCGACGTTTGGAGTTGTCAGAGATAGCATGGTTCAACATTAAACTCATGAAAGTTAAACTGTGTTCTCACTTCATGGAACTGGCTTGTTGGTGTTTTACTTGTCCGTTTCTTCAGTTGGCATGTGGCCAGCTTGAAAAGACTTTGCTTAAGTAATTTGTTTGGAACATTCAAGGGCTTGAAAAAAAATGGGGTCACGTTGTTGTCGTTGGTGCTCTAGCCATCCGTAAATTGACGACTTTTTTAACTTTAATGCGGCAGTATGAGTTTGGTAAAGAGTTCGTTTTTCCCTGAGCAAGCTGATGGTTTATGGTTTGTGATATTTGCTTCCATTAGCCTCCTTTCAACACATCCTTGCGGATATTGAGTTGGCTGCTGAGATGGAAGTTTTCAAAGCTTTCACGGTGGCAGTCACACTTGAAATTGGTAATGACAGAACAGTTTGGATCAGGGTTAACGATTGGAGTGATTTATTTGACAATAAACCATTATTATTTCTTTACTGGGGGGTATTTATGTTTATTTTGCATAAAAGTTTTACCAGTGGTATCCCAATTGTTTGGCCAGCATCTCGGCACAGAGCAGAGCATCATTCAGGGTATATCCAGAGCAACCTGAAGAAACCCCTTCCCGTGATCACGTGGACATTTCTCCGGGTCTTTTGGTTTTTCCCTTCACATTTAGAAACATGCGTTTAGAGTACAGTATTTGGCTGCAATACATTTCCACATAAGGCATTTTGTTGAGTTATCATTTGTGGTCAGGTCGCTTCTGAAAAAGAGCTACATAGCTCGGTGGGCCTTACCTGGTAAAATAAAAACTTGTTTAGTTTATAGGTTTAGTTTATACGGGAACAATTCATTTTCAGTTTTCTCATATCACATCCTCTCAATTTGTTACATTTGCTTTGAAAGTCAATATCTGAGTGTCGTTCTAGCCTTTTAATATTTACAAGTGCTCACGATCCCCTCCTCTTATCCGCATCTGTGCCTCTACACTGTGATTCTGTGTATTGGCTGTAATGCATTCCTCAACTCAGTCGAGCGGCCGGTAAATATTGGGAGATGGTCTCTAAACGTGCAGTGGCTTCTGTTTAACAGGCATAGGAGGCGCGAGCTGGAAAATAACAGATCTGAATGTTAAGTGGCACCCTAATGTACATCCTTATCAAGCTAAAGACATTCTGATGCTTGTCGATTGCATTCGTGTGCTTTGTCAAAGCAGTTGAGTACCCAATCAGATTGTCTGTTTTTTAATTGCAAAAAATATATGTCGCCTTCAGTTACTTAGAGGCAGCGATACATTCAAAAAAATAAAGTTACGGGTCAACTTCACGTTTGAGATTAGCTCCGAAACTAATATTGATTTGCCCACTATAGTTTGCAGGAATCAAAAAAGCTTCCACTCACAACAAAATACACCTCTCCCCACAGCCGATAACTTTTGGCAAACTTTCAAATGCATTATGGGAGACCTGTGCTGCGAGCACCCACGATTGTAATCAAGTCGAAAGTCACAGTGTGACTTCCTCCTCAAACGAGTGTGTCACCCGCTGCTCGTCGTTGCACGCTCGCTCGCAACGACGAGAAGCGGGTGACACTTGCCGTGCCACATATTAGCTTGCATATCCACAGCGTGGAATTTACGCTTGTGCACATTGTTGTTTAAATCTTTTGCAGTTGTCTTCTTTCTGCCGCTGTCACAGTGAAATTACTCGGATGTCTCAGGTATACAACAATAGAACCGGTACTGGAAAACCGGTCTCTTCAGGGCAAAAACTGTCTTGAAGGAAACCAGCTGGGTCAGTGGCAAGGACTGGCGGCCACTGCCAGGATTCCCGGCCGAGTCGCGCCGCTTCTGTCACTTTGATGTTTATCGCACCGAATGAAGACGGCTCAAGCCAAGTGCAGCTTCACGCGGTGGTGACAGTCTCCCAGCATTCCGTTGCCCCCCCCCACTCCCGGCCCTCCCCTCCTTTCCCTCCTGCACCGCTGTGTTCATGTCGGGGCGTTTTTTTTTACTTTCTGATTTTTTTAATTATTATTGCTGATACCAGACGGAACTGCGATGTTGTTAAAATTTACGTCTGTAACGGCTCTCTGGCACTGTACGTGCAACACGCGGCTCTTTTAGACCTTTACACTCGGACAAACCCCTTCCCGGTGTGGCCTCACAGACTGATGGGATAAGTGCTGTTAGCAAGCACCCTTTTTAATGTCGGCATGTAACACAGTTGGGACGGTCAGTAGCGTGCAGGCCACGAGCAGCCACCTTTGTCCATTGACAATGCAACATACCACTCGTTTTATGCAGAATCAAGCTAAACGGTTCACCGTCCTGATTCAGATCGATACCTGATGTCACCGGCATTGTGTGTGGCCGGAAGCATAACATTGTCATCATGCATTACCACTTCTCTGCTTAATTCCCTATTACATGGATGGGTCGATAAAGACACTAGAATTGACAAATCTAAAGCAATCTATAGATGTGGACCAACACTTTACAATCTGACAGTCTTCCCTCACTGCCTGTCTGACAGGGAGGTGCACTCCGAACTGCCTTCTGTTGAAACACTCAGCTTCCTCATTAGTACTTTGTCTCTTTCTATGCTGAGCATGCTCACCGGCGTCGTGTCCAAGGAAGAAGGAACGTCCATTCACAACTCTTTCCAATGGCAGTGCAACACCCTGTGTTGTTTGCGATTATGTTCCAAGGTAATACCAACTTTTGCGGTTGTGGGAAGTGCGATTGTGCTGAGAGCACGTCAACGCGTGTTTACATTAGCACGCGTGGGCCTTGCTAACGGAGCGGTTGTTGTGTGGTGTTGCGTTGTCTGGCTGTGACTCTGGTGGTTGTGGCAGGCGGTCGCCGCTCGTGAGGATGGAGAGTTTTTTCCAGGCGGCTGCGTGCGCTCTGGACAAAGTCCTCGACGACTTTGAACAAACAGAGGGTGAGCGGACCGCGCGTGACACACAGCCACCAACACAACCGCAATCAGCAACACAAACGAACCAGCAACACAAACGAACCACACAAACCAACCAGCATCACAAACCAACCACCATCACAAACCAACCACCAACACAAACCAACCAGCATCACAAACCAACCACCATCACAAACCAACCACCATCACAAACCAACCACCAACACAAACCAACCACCATCACAAACCAACCACCATCACAAACCAACCACCAACACAAACCAACCACCATCACAAACCAACCACCAACACGAACCAACCACCAACACAAACCAACCACCAACACAAACCAACCACCATCACAAACCAACCACCAACACAAACCAACCACCAACACAAACCAACCACCATCACAAACCAACCACCAACACAAACCAACCACCATCACAAACCAACCACCAACACAAACCAACCACCATCACAAACCAACCACCATCACAAACCAACCACCATCACAAACCAACCACCAACACAAACCAGCCACCATCACAAACCAACCACCATCACAAACTAACCACCATCACAAACCAACCACCATCACAAACCAACCAGCATCACAAACCAACCAGCATCACAACCAACCACCAACACAAACCAACCACCAACACAAACCAGCCACCATCACAAACCAACCACCATCACAAACCAACCACCAACACAAACCAACCACCAACACAAACCAGCCACCAACACAAACCAGCCACCATCACATACCAACCACCATCACAAACCAACCATCATCACAAACCAGCCACCATCACAAACCAACCACCATCACAAACCAACCACCAACACAAACCAACCACCATCACAAACCAACCACCATCACAAACCAACCACCATCACAAACCAACCACCAACACAAACCAACCACCATCACAAACCAACCACCATCACAAACCAACCACCATCACAAACCAACCACCATCACAAACCAACCACCATCACAAACCAACCACCATCACAAACCAACCACAACACAAACCAACCACCAACACAAACCAACCACCAACACCAACCAACCACCATCACAAACCAACCACCATCACAAACCAACCACCATCACAAACCAACCAGCATCACAAATCAGCCACCATCACAAACCAGCCACCATCACAAACCAACCAGCATCACAAACCAACCAGCATCACAAACCAGCCACCATCACAAACCAACCACCATCACAAACCAACCACCATCACAAACCAGCCACCATCACAAACCAACCACCATCACAAACCAACCAGCATCACAAACCAACCACCAACACAAACCAACCACCAACACAAACCAACCACCATCACAAACCAACCACCATCACAAACCAACCACCATCACAAACCAACCACCATCACAAACCAACCACCATCACAAACCAACCACCAACACAAACCAACCACCATCACAAACCAACCACCATCACAAACCAACCACCATCACAAACCAACCACCATCACAAACCAACCACCAACACAAACCAACCACCATCACAAACCAACCAGCATCACAAACCAACCACCATCACAAACCAACCACCATCACAAACCAACCACCAAGACAAACCAACCACCATCACAAACCAACCAGCATCACAAACCAGCCACCATCACAAACCAACCACCATCACAAACCAACCACCATCACAAACCAACCACCATCACAAACCAACCACCAACACAAACCAACCACCATCACAAACCAGCCACCATCACAAACCAACCACCATCACAAACCAACCAGCATCACAAACCAACCACCATCACAAACCAACCACCATCACAAACCAACCAGCATCACAAACCAACCACCATCACAAACCAACCACCAACACAAACCAACCACCATCACAAACCAACCAGCATCACAAACCAACCACCATCACAAACCAACCACCATCACAAACCAACCACCATCACAAACCAACCAGCATCACAAACCAACCACCATCACAAACCAACCACCATCACAAACCAACCACCATCACAAACCAACCACCAACACAAACCAACCACCATCACAAACCAGCCACCATCACAAACCAGCCACCATCACAAACCAACCACCATCACAAACCAGCCACCAACACAAACCAGCCACCAACACAAACCAACCACCATCACAAACCAACCACCATCACAAACCAACCACCATCACAAACCAACCACCATCACAAACCAACCACCATCACAAACCAACCAGAAACACCAACCACCATCACAAACCAACCACAACACAAACCAACCACCATCACAAACCAACCAGCATCACAAACCAACCACCATCACAAACCAACCACCATCACAAACCAACCACCATCACAAACCAACCACCATCACAAACCAACCATCATCACAAACCAACCAGAAACACCAACCACCATCACAAACCAACCAGGATCACAAACCAACCACCATCACAAACCAACCACCATCACAAACCAACCATCATCACAAACCAACCAGAAACACCAACCACCATCACAAACCAACCAGGATCACAAACCAACCACCATCACAAACCAACCACCATCACAAATCAACCACCATCACAAACCAACCACCATCACAAACCAACCACCATCACAAACCAACCACCATCACAAACCAACCAGAAACACCAACCACCATCACAAACCAACCACAACACAAACCAACCACCATCACAAACCAACCACCATCACAAACCAACCAGCAACACAACCACAACCAGCAATATCACCAGATAAATAACTGGCAACACAACCATCAACACAGTACAAGGACCGACAAACCAACCACCAACACAACCAGACCAATAGGCAATAAAACCACCAACAACACAGTACAACCACCAACATAAATCAACCAGAAACACAAACCACCAACAATACAACCAGAAACGAAACTGACAAACGCACAACACGAGCATCCTCCAATGCTGTGTATACATAGCGGTAGTTACCACACGGAAAATCTGGGCGCAGGGCGGATATGAAATTAACCGCTGTTGCGTTTGCTTGTCGCAGATGACGTGGATTATTTTGGGCTCGTGCCCGCTGCCCGCGGCTCCGAGATGTTCTCGAGCCAGGACGGCATCCGGCGTGCCGGACTCAATGCCCCAGAGCCGCTGCCACCGCCAACACGCCCGCCGCCCGTTGGCACGGACGCGCTCTCGGAGAAGCGCTTCTCCCTGCCCGCGCTGATCTCGCCTCCGTTGGCGCCGTTGGTGGATGGGCGGGGCGGTGAGCGCGACCGCCCCTTCCTGAGCTTGCCCTCAAACTTCATTGCGGAGAAACCGGGGTCGCCGCCTTCCCAATCGTTTTCATCGGCGTCGTCGTTGGCGTCTTCGGTGGAATCGCCTCTTCCTTCGCCGTCTTTCCCCATGCACCCGCCCGCACCGGAAAATCTGCCTTCAACGTCGCCACCATCGCAGGTGGCATCTCTGTGGGCCTCCCTACCCACCGACGATGCTCGCGGTACCGCGCCGATCGATCCTTTTGCGACAACGCGTCGCTCGGACCTTGCCGACGCTCTCGACGTGGGCCTCGTCTCCCCGGCCGTGACCTCGTCGGACGAGACCTTGACACCGTCGCCCCCGCGCTCGTCGCAACAGCCGCAGTTCACGCGACATTTTGAGGCCGCGCGGCTGCAAGATTGTCCGGTTGCCTGCGGCGGTGGCGGAGAAGAGGAAAGCACGGCGCACAACGCGTGTCGGCCACCGCTGGTGGCATTCGACCTCCTGTCGGCGGGCCCCGGTGCCGAGACCCTGGCACCGCAGCGCGGCCCGCCGCTCTGCGACCTGCTGTCGGGGACGCATGACAACAAGCAGCGGCCGCGCGACGACGAGCAGCGGCCGCGCGACGCCATCGCGGCGGATACGTCTCCTTCGAGCGGCGTGGACCGAACGCTGTTCAGAGGAGACCGGGCGGAGGGCGGGGAAACGAACGGGGACGGGAGCTACTCGACGAGCGTGGGAGGCGAGCGGCTCACTGTGGTGTGCGTGGCGGATGAGCCACGGTCACCTGACCGGGATCTCTCGGACGAGACGTCACGGAACTCCGGCTCGGCGGCTGAAATGTCGTCGGAAAACGACGCGAGCGCGACGTTCGAGGCGGAAAGCGTACGAGCCGACGCGTGCCGGGACGACTCTCCGGAGCCACCCCTCTCCGCAGAGGCTCTTGCTGCAACCGGAGTGGCGTTTAACGACGCTGATAGGAGTTGCGGCGAGGGCGAGAATAGCGGTGGCGGTGTTGCCATCGATCAGCCGACGGCGCTGGACGATTGCCGTCGAGGGGTGGACTCGGAGGCGAGCGAACCCCCAAGCGAGCCGCCCGCCGAGGACTCCCTGCGGCACTGGCCGCCCATCCCCGGAGACGGCGCCGATGTCGTCCGACCACCGCTCTTACGTGGCGCCGAGCGGGAGGCGCTGCCCTCGCTCGTCAACAAAGAGGAGGTCGCCATGCCCACCCTCAGCACCGAGGAGCCGAAGAAGACGCGGGAGGAGTTGCAGGAGCTGGAGGAGTTGGAGGAGCCGGGAGCAAGCATCACGGCGAAGGAGGAGGGCACTGCCCCGCGAACTAATGGAGCTGCGGACGTGTCGGAGAGCGATGCCGAGCTGGAGGCCTTCCTGAGCTCGCTCGAGGCCAGCGCCGACTCCCCCCCGGCTTCCCCGGCCCCCTCCCTCAAGGAGGACCGCGTGACCGAGGAGAAGGAGGTGGAGGACAGCAAATCGGACACGAGCGGCGACAGCGTTTCCCCGCTGCGCGGTCAGTCCTTCTCTCTCTCTCTCTCTTTGTCGCTGATTTTTTTTTCATTCAAAGGCAAACAAGTCTTAACCACCATAACCACGAACCAACGTACACGTACTACATTCCCATGTTAGGGACCAGTTGTCTCCGCAGAACAACCCACCGTGAGCTCACCACTAGGTTGTACTACATCAACCCCCGATTGGTGCTTCTAACTACAGCACCACACCACTATATAAAGGAATCGTTATAAAAAAAAACCTTAATCTGTGTGTCTCAAAAACCTCTATCCTTTGTTGTTTTTTAAGATATTTCAGATTCAAGCGGTTTTGAACGAAAAAAGACGCATTTTCTGATGTTCAAATCCGAATTATTCAACAACTATAAAGATAGGAGCTTCCTCTCATAGAGTATTAAGTTAATTAGTTTTGTTATTTCTCATAAAAAACGAATGGAATCTTTAAATTGAGCGGCGTCCGATGGGTACGTCTTAAAATATAAAAAGTTGAATTAAGTCGTTTGCGGAAAAATAAAATAAAAATGTATTCACGTTGCGCGATGGCTCTGATGTCAGGTGATCAAATCCACATAATGCAAAGATTGAGAAGTAATACAACTCGCAGCTCGACCGTTATTCAGATGTCGATAGCAAGTGCTGCTTCTGTACTCTTATCCACGTCGTCGGGGTGGTCGTGTATTTTGAAGGCGGCGGCGCTGACTCCGGCTCCCCTGCCATGGCGCCTCTGCTGCCTCGGCACGCGGCGCCAGCGCACAACGGCAACGATACGCCGGGGGCTGCGCGGCCCCCGCCGGGCGGCGCTCGCCCCAAGCAGCCGCTCCGCCTGCAGCTGCCGCGGCCGGCGAGCAACCTCCTGGGCGGCCGCGACGAGGCCGACGGGCGCGAGCCGCCCGAGGCCCACGCGGCGCCCTCCTCCGCCACGGAGAACCACGTGACGGCAATGGCGGCGGCGCCGGCCGAGGAGGGGGAGGACGATGAGGACGACGAGACGACGCAGGAAGAGGAGGAGGAGGAAGAGGAGCGGGTGTGGTCGCACGGCCCCGGCGGTGCCAGCAGGGCCCGTGCGGGAGGGGAGCGCCCGGCGGGGGGCACCCAGGGGAGGGAGGGCCCCGGGACGAGCGCTCCCATGTGGGTGCCCGACGCCGAGGCGCCCAACTGCATGCGGTGCAAGGCACGGTTCACCTTCACGCGCCGACGGCACCACTGCCGCGCGTGTGGCAAGGTGAGGGCACGGACGCGTTCTTGCCTTTCTGTGCTACCGTTTGTGAATGTTTGGTTTGCGTCGTTTTAACGGAAGGCGGGACAGTAGAGAGAACAGTTGGGTGCTCTCTTTTCAAAGCTTTCCAGCTGAAGATGAAAGCGTTTGTGCATTCGGTCCGTCCACCTGTCCGTAACGGGTGGGCATTGCAGCTCACTCTCGTGACGACGATCCACAATAAACCAACCTGTGGTGCAGAGTCTTGCTGCCGCCCTTAGAGACTTGTTCCATTTACAACCGCCCACGTTCATCACAGGGCTTCACAAAAACTTGCAAGACATATCCCACAGAGAAGAAAGGGCGAGTTGCAAATATGCAAACACATTTTCCGCTGACACAGCATGCTGCCATCGTACCCTGAGTAATTATAGTTCTGTTACTGCTGTATTACATAGACCCATTCATTCAAAACATAAAAAATGTAGGCTTTAGTGTTTAGTGACAGTTGTTTGAAGCAGATATGTTGGACACTCACAAAGCAAAGAGGTGTCTAACCTTTGAGATTCGGTGCTTGCGGGAGACGAGAGACATTATTATTATTCTGCCCGTTTAGCTAGGAAAGCCTCGCGATTCTCGTGACCCTTTTTCAGGAGGGTCCTGCCGAGCTTTTTCTTTCGCAGTTGGGGGCCATCGTTTTTGTGCGGGGATCCCAATGTGGTGATTTGCGGGTAATGTTTTGTCGCCTCTCGGGCTGACGTGCCACCACAAGACACACGTCATCGTAACAGAATCAGAAGTAAGGGGCCATGGGGGAGGGCGTGTGGCACATTTTGGCGCCAGCTATCGTCGAGTGCAGGCATGTTGCAATGATTCTCTGTGCTGAGTACAATATCTTTAAAAACAGTGGCGCTACACCCCTCTAAATTAAATTTACGCTCACCGCTTACGCGGTCCAAGATTCAGCGGTGAACGGTACCCACCATAGAAGTTGCAGATGTCTCGGAATCGGAAAGGATTAATAGTCGATGTGATGCCTGTACTTTGCATTGGTGTAACTTCCAGCATGTACATCTCCCCTCCATGTTTTTTGTGTACTTGGCAGTTACTCCTGCGCTTTCTTTGCCGGTGATCACGTTTCTGATCTCGGTCGTACCAGGCAATAAGCGATGTTTGAAAACGTTCTTTTGCTGATCCGTCGATGCGTCGCTAGCTACTCAGCACCAAATGTAATTTCCTGAAAGCGCTCTATCCTGCTGTCACTCCTCTCTTTATTTCAACATTTGGATCCCCGTCTGCATTCAATAACACTGTGTAACAAAAACATTTTTTTGTTCCTGGGTAGTAAGTGTTATTTTATAATTGCTTATGCCTTAAAAGGATAGAAAATGGCTCTTATTCCCCACAAACTTTGCTTTTGTGACCAGGACACTGAAATTTTGAAATGTACCTATTTTCAATGAGAAATCATGTGCATTTGTGTCATTCCTTCACATAAAGTCCAAGTCACAAAAGCAAAGTTTGCGTTTGGCAATGTCGGGTGTCCAGTAGCATAGCTTCAGGAATAGCTATATTATTGTTGTTGTCTTGTTCAGTGAACTTTCTGTCCGCAACTTAGGTTTTGGCTCATGTATCTGTCATCCATGTGTGCACCTTCTTTGTCTAGATCCTCAATCGTTTCCTGTCAATCATTTTCTATTGGTTGATAAGACGACCGTCGTTGGCAAATATTAAATGGTTTTACACTTCACGCACATTTGCGCTGTTATGTCTCCAACCACGATTTCCAGAAATTGTCTTCTAACATTGCTATGAGTAGCCTTGGTGAGAGAGAATGTCTCTCAGTGTCTCTCGGTGTCTGACCCCCCATTCTTATTTTATAGTGTTGTTTTCTCCAGGTTATCTTGTGCAACTGTTCCATAATAAATGGTTTTGATTAGTCTCTTATATTATTATTATTCTTCTTTAACAAGGTTTTGAGTTGGTGACAGCATGGATAACTGCCTCTGTTTCTAATTAATCGGGGTAAAAGGTGCAGGGGTGATAGGGTGGGTGGTACATTTGGCTTAGGAATTAGTAACAGAAGAGGAGAGTGCCTTTTGGAGTTTGCAGCCCGATGAGATTTGAGGATATATGTTGCATTTTTTTAAATATAACTGCTACTGGGTGCCCCATTTAATTATATACTGTGTAATTTCCACATGTCTACCATTGTTATCATTGTGCTTATGTGATCGGGTTATCCATTCATGCTGAGGTTTTTTTGAGATGTGTGAAGTTTATTTTAAACTTGGACAGTGGCTTGTTAACACAGCGGCGAGCAATGAGTTAACGACTTGCATGAGCTTCATTAAAGTCCTCAGCTTTCTGCCTTAAGCTACGTGAACCACATGTCAAAATTGACTTGTGCTTTTTTGCATGGAGATATTAGAAAGGTCACAGACTTGATTTTAACCGACCAACCCCCCCCCCATCCCAATTTTGAGAAATAAGAATAGGTTTTACCCTTTTTGGCAATACAACAGGAGGTATTAAGATGTTCAAACACGAAATAGAAACCTTGTTCAAGGAATCAAGTCACTGCATTAACCTCACGTACTTGTGATGAACATGCAAACAACCATTCTCTGATAATTAATGATGCATATATTATATAATTTGCATTGTCTTTGAAACTGATAATTTCCTTCTTCATGGCCTTGTCTCACCAGTGTCAGACAAAGAGCGTCAAACGGCGAACAGTACAAAGACATTGCACGTATTAGCGCGTTTATAGCTCGGGGTAAGCAGCTATATCATGGGACTTTATTTGGCAGTATCAAAGTATGAGAAATAAGAATAGGTTTTACCCTTTCTTCCAATACAGCAAGTGTTGAGATGTTGAAACACAAAATACCTTTTGCAAGGAATCAAGTCTGCATAAGCCACACGTAGTCGTGGTGAACATGCACCACAATATTGTTACGTAGGTAACAATATTGTGGTGCAGGTGCTCCTTAAGAGTATTCAGCAAATTCAACACATGAAGTTGTCACGGGTCCATGCCATGCAGGTTGCACTTAGCATAGCCAACACGGACACCCAGTTAATAACAGGACAAAAACAATACGGTTTACTTATAAAATGTAGTCCAGGAGGCTGGAGAATTCCGCACACTGATTGATTTTATGTTATTGATTTAAATAATGAAGTCACTAAAATTAGGACTTAAAGGGAACTGAAAGTAGAAAGCAAGTAAAAAAACGCAGCTCTAGTTATCAAAACACGATAATGCACATGTTTAATTAAAGGAGTGGTGTAAAATATTGCGATATAACAGCAGACAAATGGATACAACTTCAATGTATGTTAAAACCTAAAATATATATGCTTAGGTTTTAAATGTGTGTGTTAAACAGAGTCCTGTATGCAAGGGTTTAACAATGCGCCATTTATTATCATTTTAGCTCACTCAGTGGCGAGGTGAAGGGCAATCCTCACAGCCAAAATTAGTTTCATTATGTGGTCTGTACCCAAACATGAATCACGAATCGTGCTGCTGGATGTTACCATGGACGTTGCTATTTAAAAAAAAAATGCTGATGGGTGTCGCTCAATACATAAATCCCTTAACAGGCCTCGGTTGTGTGTGGTGTCCGTCCCGTATGCCCCGCGCGCAGGTGTTCTGTGCCCCCTGCTGCTCGCAGAAGAGCCGGCTGAGGTACATGGAGAACAAGGAGGCTCGCGTGTGCATTCGCTGCCACACTCACATCGACAAAGGTGAGGGAATAACGGACGCATGCCACACGCACCACACGCACGCTTACACCAATGCGATTGCGGAGCAATTTACATGAACGCAGGGGCTCAACGCAATCGCCATCTCCAGGCGCTTCGCAGGAAACAAACTATTCATAGAGTTGGGTAAAAAAAAAACAGGCTGATAAGACGACAAATAAAACAAACACAAAAATCTAAAAATAAACTAAATTTTAGGCACGTGCGCATGCAAACAAACGTGCCCTCACGTATTTGGCTCGCACAAGGTCTCAACTGCGCTTTGCGGTTCACGTAGAAGAGAATCCCAGACATCGGGAGCACAAGCCGAGAAGGAGCAACCTCCCGTCTAACGAAGGCTTTGTGACAAGGATTCGGAGGTGCTGAGCTGGAGAGTAAAGTGAGACGAGAGGCAGGCAGGAGCAAGACCGTGAAGAATGTTTACTAAAGTCACTGCAATAAAAAACACTAGCCATACAGTATTTGCTCGCTCTCCGAGAGAGAACAACGCGGGGGCATGGGGAATTACAGGCAAGCGGGAAGGCAGCCAGTCGCTGAGTTGGTGGCTGCAATTGCCCAAGCTCTGCGGTCCCCTTTATATAATGTAAAATGAGTGTTTACCTATGGAAGCACCCAGAGAAAACCCACGTGTGCTCGGGGAAAACACTCTTTACCATTTTCACGGAACAAGCAAGAGTCCGCATTTTTGCCGTATTGCCTTCTTCTGGTGAGCCGGGTTACGGCACCTCCTCGACGCCCACGGGAAGGGAATTTGACAACATTTGTGCGATCCACCAACCCTCGCCTCCACAGTGCCGGATTCTCGGTGTGCGCGGCCACCACCACTCGGCATGGGCACCACACATTTGCATGTTGGGAAGTGATAGCTGGCTTAGCTGGAGAACCGCAGGCCTAGCTGGAGAACCGCAGGCCTAGCTGGAGAACCGCAGGCCTAGCTGGAAAGCAGGCAGGCAGGCAGGGGGTGAACCGGCGCCAACAATTGCTCAAGCTCTGCAGTCCTCTGTGTATTAAGATATTTTCAGCCAACGAATGAGTGTTTATACACGTGGGAGGAAACCGGAGCACCCGGGCAAAGCCTCCGGCTGCAAGGGAGCAACACTGTATCCAGTGCACAAGGGACTGATGATATAAGTCCGCATTCTTCTGAACCACCTTCTGGCAAGCCAGAGTATGACTCCTCCTCGACACCCACAGGAAGGGAGTTTCACAACATTTGTGCATTCCACCAAACGCTTACTGCCACAGTGCCGCGTTACTGGCATGCCACCCCTGCCGTGCACGTATATTAACTTTATGAGTGCCTCTGCATGTATGTGAGCCATTTACACAATTGTGCGCATGTACACATAAAACGTACTGTAGGAGTGTTGCTGAAATGTTTGGATGATGTGCGAGGACCGCCCTGGTCTGGCTGTATCAGGGGAGAAATATGGATCTCGCACCTCCGATTAGCACGGTTGGCTACGTGCGGTGCCAAATAAGTTGAACGTGCATGTCGCAGGAAGAGAATGTCAGGAATGTTTTCTCAGTCGAGGTGGCTCGGGGGGAGGGCTCGTTGGTCTTTGCGGTGGCACGGAGCCAGCACTGCTGAAGTGCTGCAGTGCAACCATGCGCCAACCTCCCACTTGAGATAACATCATGCCCTCAAACCCAGCGTGCTTGGCGGTCACCGCCCGGTCACTGGTGACTGCACAAAGAATGAATGCCGAAAACTAAAAACAGTCCCTTGTGATGACATGTTGTCTTTCTTGTTGTTGTAATAGACATCTGGATAAGTGCAAGGGTAAAAAAATAATTCCGAGGGTCTGTAGGTGTTCAAAATGTAGAGGCAGTAAAAACGTCACGATCGCATCCAGGTGCTGTGTTAGAGCACTCCGAAAGTTTACAACTTAATATTCCAGTCAGGTGGTCAGCGCAGCCCCTTAACCCTTGGGCAGTGAGAACAACGAGCACTGCCTTGTGGGATGTTAACAGTGGTCGTGCATTTTGAGAGACTGGATTGTGAACTTCTACCACGGGCTGGAGGCCACCAGGGGTCACGTGATCGCCACCTGCGTTCGTAGCTCCGCAGCGCAAAGCAGTGGGCTCGAGTCCTTTTCTCAAAGATAGACCCTTGAAGGATAGGTAATGTCCGTGTCGTTCCACTGTACGCAGATCTGGAATGGGCAAAGAGGTTGCCTTGTCTGCCCAGATGCATGCACACGGATAACAGCATGATTGTGTAAAAAAAAAAAATCACAAACGAATCACCTTCAAACTTGTTTCCTTGACCTCCATTTCCTGACTTTGCCGGTTAGCATGAGATGATGTAGTCTGGCCCCGTTGGTGGAATTCAATTGAAGAGAACAACCCGTACCAGCAAAGTGCAGGTGCTCCTTAAGAGTGCGTGCACTGTGACAGGCACACACTTGCAGACGTACACGCACCTGCACCTTGACTTGCGAGCTCATTGCACCAAAACAACCGCATGCGACGCTCGCCGATGAGTGCACGCGAGAGCGGCCTGATTATCATCGTCAGTGCTATGCCCTCGTCTTAGTAAAAAAAAATCGAATTCCAAGGACGTTTTACAGCCGCGAGATCTTGCTTCATTCTGAAATATATGTTGTGCTTTTTTATGCACTTTGCTGTGCAACTTTGAGACGAGATAAGGTACGTTTTTAAGTGCACTTTGCACAGTTCATTTGTCAGCACAGCTTAAAGCACGATGCAACACAAAGAGCAGAATGGTTGTTACTTTGTTCGGTTATCAACACGATATTGATCCATGGCAGTTAAATAAAGAAAGCCGCAGGTACTCCTCTCAAATCCGGTGTCCAGGCATGAAGGCTGTCGGGGAGGCGGCGTGGCCCAGCGCTAGCACCGTCCGCCCTCCCGCCCGCCTGCCCGCTTGTTTATTAACATTCTTCCATCAAACGTTGATATGGTTTGCGCGACCGCCTCGGTGTCTCCTCTTCGTCCGTAGCAGTCGAGGCGGTGGACAGAATGGTTGCCCTGGCGCCATCTCCGCCGCCGGCGCCGCCGTCACCGCTATCGACGTCGGCGCCGCCCAGCGGGAGCCCCAACCCCAACAACCCGGCCGAGTACTGCTCCACGCTGCCGCCCCTGCAGCAGGCCCGCGCCGCCGGAACCCTGGCCTCGCCGCCACCCACCGTCATGGTGCCCGTGTCGGCGCTCAAGCACCCGGGACAGGACGGTGGGCGCACGCACCATGCACGCCGCGCACGCCGCACCGTTTGCACCGTTTCACCTTGCGGTGGTGAATGAGCGTCGTGTACGGTGGTGGTGGCGGTGGTTAGGAGTGGTAATCACCTGATTAGCGAGCACACCACCACTACTGCCCGGTTTCGGTCTTCCAAGGCAAAAATGGTTGTTTCACCGGATTCGTGAATGTGTGTCGTGTGGTAATCGTGGGTAGAGTGTGGTGGTGTTGGTGGTGGCGGTGGTTAGGAGTGGTAATCACCTGATTAGTGAGCACACCACGACCACCACCACTGCCTGGCTTCAGTCTTACATGGAAACAATGGTGATTGCTTCATCGGATTCGCACTAACTATGGGAGATGTGGACATCTGAAAATAAAACACCTTCCTGTGTGTGACTGTGTTTACAAATTCTAAACCATGGAGAATATAACCTCACTCTGCCCCAGCTATACTTGTGAAGGTAGTGGTTGGATAGGTGAGTGATGGGGTGAGTGGGTGGGTGGGTGCATCTCCAATTCACCATTTCTCAGACAAAGCAATTGATTATCTCACTCAATTACATCCGAATCTCTTAATAGTTACCCGTCATAGGCCTTACAAAATAAGATGGTGGTGATTGATAGCGTTTAGTGGTGGAAGTAGTGTGTGTCGATTGTTAATACTGTCTGGTGTGGTTGTGTTTGATAATGCTGAGTTTTAGTTTCATTTTTGTTTCTGGGTTCAGTCACTTAATGATCTGGCCAAATATACTACTAAAGGCCCTCCACCACCCGGCATTGCCAAACGCATTGTCGCATTACAAACGTTTAACGCGCCAATTATTATTGTTCACGGAGTTGAACGCGTGTGGCTGTGCTCGACGCAGGGTCCCAGCGGGAGCCGAGACGCGTGTGGTTTGCCGATGGAATCCTGCCCAATGGAGAGGTGGCAGACGCCACGATCCTGTCGGGCACACCGGGGACACCCGTGCCGGGGTCCTCACCACCACCCACCCCTCCACCTGCTGCTGCAGCAGCTCAGGACCCTGGATTGCCCATATCGCTCAGTGAGGTGCCTGAAATTAATTCCTTTTATCGTAAACTTGTTATAACGCTTAGTTGCCGCTTAGTAAAATTTTACGTAATGCTGTTGTTGATTCTCCCCGACTCTGCTCATGTTCACCTTGTGTATTGAATCGCAATTCACTTTACATTAACCTTGAACTTAACATTTTTCAACGATCTGCCTTGTTCACCCCGTATCTTTAGAACAAATAAACCTTTAAACAGGAACATGCCAAATTATGCGCAAAAACAAATTCACTCGTCACAATTAATTTGAGTAACCGACTCAACCATTAGCCAAGCGCTGCTTCAGAATAACTAACATTTGCAATTTACGCCTTTTTATATTCAATCTATAGTAAAAGATGAGCGCTTTGAATTATCTCAATTAATAAAGAGGGATGACATTGTCATCCTCTCAGCCGACAAGGGCAATGCCACTGTCATCATGGACAAAATTAAATATAACAACAAAATTCAGGAACTACTCAACGATGGCAGCTATATAAAAATAAGAAGAGACCCCACCAACAGCCTCGTTACTAAAACCAACAAAATCACTTCTGATTCAACAGCATTAATTGATCAAACCAAACAGTTCTCGTTGAAACCTTCTGCGGCCAGGCCACCACGATTATATGGCCTTCCAAAGATACATAAAGAAGATACACCCCTTCGTCCCATCGTCTCTACTATCAACTCCCCCACCTACAAACTGGCTCGTTTTCTGTCTGAAATCCTGCGGCCTTTTACTGGAAAAACCACCTCTGCGGTACTAAACTCTACTCACCTGGTATCGACAATCAAGGGTATTTCCCTGTCCCCAGACCTGCTTGTCAGTTTTGATGTGGTTTCCTTATTCACCAAAGTTCCTGTACCTGACAACCATCGCATTCATTGAAGACTTGGTTCATCAAGGACTGCATACTGATGTACCCCCCTTGGTGAGACACTGCTTAACCAACACATACGTCACCTTGAATGGAACTTTCTACAAACAAACTGAGGACACTCCAATGGGCTCCCCCCTATCTCCAGTTGTAGCCAACGTTTTCATGGAGAAATTTGAGACTGACGCCATCCAGACTGCCACTCTACGCCCGACCTTATGGAAGAGGTATGTGGATGACACTTTTGTCATATAGTCACATGGCCGGCCTGCTCTAGACCAATTCCTCGACCACATCAATTCCATACACCCAGCCATCAGATTTACCATGGAAGTCGAAAAAGATGGCAAGCTACCCTTTTTGGATGTCCTAATTAAAAGGAGAACTGATGGTTCAATGAGCCACTCTGTCTACAGGAAAGCTACCCATATGGATGCTTACTTAAAACCGGATTCCCACCACCATCCATCCCAGAAGAATTCCCTCATCAAGACTCTATACCATAGAGCCCAATGCATTTCCGACCAGGAACACATTGCCAGTGAACTCAAGCACGTACACCAAGCTCTCAAGGCTAATGGTTACTCCGACTACACAATCTGCAAAGCCATCAATCCAGCCATGAAGAAGGATCCTCTTGAGCCATTCAAAACCATCACCTTACCCTACATTACGGGGTCACACAAAAGATCTCCAAAATCCTGAATAAACACAAGATCCAGGTCCGATTCAGCACAGTACATAAAATCCGCTATCTGGTTCCGTCTGTAAAAGATGTGGTTCCAGACATACAGTACCCGGTCGTCTACAAACTAAGTTGCCTCTGTGGTAGCAGCTACATTGGAGAAACCAAACGACATATCTCGGACCGCATCCGTGAACATAAAGCAGACTTGAAACACGGTAGGACGAACACCTCAACCATGGCAAATCACTGTTATAATTCAGTGGGCTCACATGACATTGACTTCTCCAAGACGGAGGTTCTCTACAAGCCATCCGGCTACCATGAGAGATTCGTTCATGAGGCTATCCACATATACAGAGACAATTTAAACCGAGAAGATGGATTCTGGCTTAGTAACCATTGGAAAGACGTTATAAACCATTTCGTTTCTTGATTGATTGTATTTTACGGTGACTTTCAGACTGCAGTCCATTCGCTGACACTGCCTCTTAATACCTTTCACACGACGGTCAATGGTATGGTTTATAGCATGTTGTATAATAATAAATAGTATAACAGTGTAATGTTTAACATAATTAATAAGGCAATATATAGTATCGTAATTGTGTAGTGAATATACAGCAGTGTGGTATACAGTAGGGTTGGTAGAATAATACATAGTGTAATATTCCAAGTCTTAACATTTTATAGTCTAAAGTATAGGGTAGTGTATAGTAACGCATTGTATAATTCAAGGGTGGGGTTTGTCTATGGCAGTGTATATTACGGTGTATAATCGTGTAATGTAGAAAAAGTTTAGTTGGAGACATATCAATATAATGCATAATGTTAGAGCTTGCATTGGGCTGTGTATACGATATTATACAATGTAGTTTAGATTGGAAGGTATAACATTGTAATGTATAGTAGTCTAGTTTATAACATAGTTGTAGCGCAACACAGGACAGAGTAGCGCACCGTGGCTGTTTCTCTCCCCACTCCTCCGTTCCGAGCATAGATGGACTCGTCCGTCTGAACAAAGCTCGTCGCTTTCCGTGGTGCTAACGTTGAAAAGAAAAAAACGCCACCTTTTTTTTTCGACATAGAATTGTAATGTATAACGACTTAATGTTAGTAGCTCAGCTGAATGGAGAGTATATTTAGTTTATTGATAACATTGATGTAGTTTATATTTTAGTTTTTTATCAGTTTACTATATGGTATTCATACTCTTTTGTTCTATTCCGTAAAGTCACGTAGGTAAAAAATAAAACAACAAAAATCATGACGTTTCGGCCACAACACAAGCGGCCTTCATCAGGTGAAGGGGCCAGACTGTCTGGAGGACAGCGCTGGAGTGAAACACAGCCAAGCTCAGACCGCGACCTTTAAGCTGTGTGAGAGTAATTAAGGTGCTTTAACAAAGGAATTAGCATAAAGATTTGCATTTTAATAGGCGGACTTAGCATGATGAAAGGTAGGGAGGGGGTCGACCTGTGCAGGCTGGCGAGGGGGCACAGCAGCGTCCACATGCTGGTGGTGGGAAAAAGGGATTTATGGTATTCATTATATAGTCTAGTGTATACCCAGTTACTTTATGTTAATAGCTCAACTTATTGAATAATATATTGAGTACATTTATTATATTTATGTAATTTATACTTAGTTTTTCACATCGGCTTGTTATATGATAGTTGGGTAGTTGCAGTTCTTTAGCGTCAATATACTAAATGCCTCTGTTGATATGTAAACTCTGACTTTAAAATAGCTGCTTCCATGACCAGTTACATGCTAATCCCTCACATTAACAAAATGCTAATCTCCCAGTTACATGCTAATTTCTGACTTTAAAACCCTGCTAATTCAACACTTTAACACAGCTATTTCCATGCTCAATTCTTCTGTTGATATGTAAACTCCTTTGTCAAGGCGCTCTGCTCCTCCCACCCAGCTTAAAAGACGCTGCGAAGCTTAGCGGCGTTCACTTGAAGCGCTGTCGTCCTGACAGTTCTGTTCCTTCACCTGAAGAAGGCTACTTGTGTTGTGGCCGAAACGTCGTGAGAATTTTATTTTATTATGTTTTATTTTTTTATTTCCATTCTACGTGGTGACTTTACCGAAAGAACCAAGAAGATGAATCCCTGCAGTCACGAAAGCTTTAAATCGAAAAATTCCCTGATGGTTAAAAATGGAAGAGTCTCGGTGTGTTAATGAGTTATGAAAATACAATTAATGTACATACCTACACACCGTGCTGTGTGCTTTCTAGTAAGAAGCAGGAGGGAGACAAAATCTTGCTTATTCAAATAAACATTTATTTATGTACATTGAGTAATTTTCTATTTTCCAGATCTGAGCTGTTCTTTAACAACAATGATGGCCTTGAGAAAAACAACATAATAGGTGACATTTTGAGTAATGGCCCTTCATAGCATATACATGATTTATTTGATGATTATAAAAAAAATATTTGTGCTTGTGTACCACTTTCAGCGAACTGTGCGCTGTTATCCAAGAATCCCCCACTATGCATATAGGATGTGTTCTTGGGAAATGCTACTTAAATTACTTAAAGCTAACTCTAATTTCCCACATACATAATATTAAAATCAGGGGTTGCGTTCCTAGCCGACATTTCTGGAAGAAAAAAAAATGCGTGATGAAATGCCATGAAGAGTACAAAAATACGTATGATTATAAGGTAACATACATTTCAACTAATAATAAATAGGTGAAATTAGATATACATATCACGAGAGATGTTTGAAGAGCTTGTTGATTGAGGTCTCTTGGGGTGAGCAGTGATGGGGTTATGCAGATGAAGGGCATGATCACCTGCCTGTTCATCTGACAATGAAGCTGGAGCCATGTGAATGCTCACCAGAAGAAGACGGCTTCTTCTGGTGAGCATTCACATGGCTCCAGATTCATCTGACTATGAAGCTGACGATGAAGCTGGAGCCATGTGAATGCTCACCAGAAGAAGCTGTCTTCTTCTGGGCTCTTCTCTGGATTTTTCGGCTTGATTGCAGAACATAAAAAAAAATTCCAAAGACAGCTGACCAGCATTTTCCGTCTTCTGCTGGTACAGCTCCTCGTACTTTATCTGCATTGTCGAGTCCAGCTTCCTTCCGCCACGTGGAGGAAAACCCCTCCACGTGGCGGAGGGGTTTTTGGTGGTACATGCCGCAGTGGCGAGAGGGATGCCACGGTGGCGAGATATTAACTCCCTCGTCTAGTATGTAGGAGGTCGTGGGTTTGATTCTGACCCTGACGCCTGTATAATTGGGGTTTGCATGTTCTCCCTGTGGTCGCGTGGATTTTTCTGCAAAGGGGAAAAATAAGCTGCAACCTTGTGGTGCTTATGCCGCTGTGATGTGCTGTGCTGCCCTTGATGAGCTCTCCAAAACAGTTATCATCTCCACTTATTGGAAAGCAATAACAGGGTCTGACGTTTTCCGTTGGATATGGTAAAACGGTGGTGAGCAGTTAACTACCTCACCTGGTATACAGGAGGTCGTGGGTACGATCCCGACCTTGATGCCTACTGCATATTTGGAGTTTGCATGTGGATTTTTCTCCAGGTCCTCAGATTTTTACCTCCACATTTAGAAACATGCGTTTAGAATATTTGGCTGCTATAAATTTCCACACTTCGTTGAGCTATATTTGTGGCCAGGTTGCTTCTGAAAAATAACTATTTAGATCACTGGGCCTTATCTGGTAAAAATAAAACAGTTTAGTTTATATTCTTTTATAGATTTGAAGCTTTCGTGACTGCAAGGATCTAGTCACGTGACTTTACCGAATAGAACCAAAGAGTATAGTTTAGTTTATAGTTAATTTTTGTGTGCTGTATGGTGTTACATCACAAAATAGTCCCTTTGCACTGCGCATGTTCCTAGTAAAATAATTGCATGAAAATGTTTAAGTTTTTTTGAAAAAGCGGATATGCGAAACATTACACGTATAAGGAAATATGTTCCCGAATTAATCAGCACCGAATACGCAAAGCAACGCATAATACAGCAATTTATAGCCAGGGATTCCTGTATGCTCCTGACTAAGACAGCACGGCACCATTCTTAGATTCAAGAAATTAGTCTTTTGTTTAAACAAATCTGCCCAGGTGCCTCACTGGTAGATTGAGCGGCTCGCTGTCAGAGGCTTGAGAGTTAAAATCTTGGTTGGGCGTCAATAAAATCAGGACCACTTTAAAGTGGTTGTCCAATGGATCGACTCTCCTCCAGCATAGGAAAGTGTAATTTCGACCACTGGCTCAGGGCTGTAATCAGGAAACTAAACTGTGAACTAAATTTTTTTTTCATTTTAACAGTGAAGGTCCACTGAGCTACATAGCTCATTTGCAGAAGCGACCTGGCCACAAATTATAGCTCAACGAAGTAGCTTATGATGTGTAAATTTATAGTAGCCAAATAATTAAAATGCATGGTTCTAAATGTGGAGTGAAAAACCGGAGGACCCGGAGAAAAATCCACACAACCCTTGGGTCCCGTGCTCCCCCTCACGTGACCCTGTCAACGCTCGTCCCATCAATCATCATTAGCACGTCCAGTAGTAACCATGGTCCCGGGGAACCATAGTGTCCCGCTATCGCTCCGCACTGTCTTTACATCGGCGTCAGGGTCGGGGTCTGACCCACGACCTCCTGCATACCAGGCAAGGTAGTTAACATCTCGCCACCGTTGCGCCCATGCCTCAATGCTCATTGAGCAGCTGCAGCAGCAGGAGGTCACCGTGAGTTGTGTTTTTGACACGCATGCACGCGTCCTCACTCATTGTCACCACATGTGGGTGTTTCTCCCAGCCGGAGCCGCTCCCGCCAACGGTGGCCCCTGTGGTCCCCGTGACCGCCGTGGTCCCCATGGTCCCCGCGGCCCTTGCGGCCTCGTTGGGCCCTCCGGCAGCTCCCGGAGGAGTTCCACGTGTCCTCCCGGCGCCCACGGGCAGCCCCGTGGGAAAGGGTCTGAACCTCATCCCGGACGACGACGAGGGACTGCCCCCCATCCTCATCTCATCCGGCGTCAAAGGAGGTGCGTCGTCTCCCTGGCCCAGCCCTCGGCACTGAGAGTTGCCGAGCGTGATGGCAGCGGTGGTAGTTCTGGCAGCGGCGGTCGTGGTGGTAAAGGTGGCAGTGGTGGCTATAATAGATGCTGCACATGTAAGTCTTCTTCTTTTGTATGGCAATTACTATAGAGCAACAACTACAATTTCACATGTAGGTGGTCAAGCCAGACAACCGTGTCAGGAGCAGTGGACTGTATCGCTGTGAAATCTCCTTTGTATTTGTACATCGGGTATTGCGTCATTATACGTTGTATGGTGTCTGTAGTAGTAGAAGTGGTGGTAGTGGTGTTAATGGTGGCAGTTGTGGCTGTAATCGATGCTGCACATGTAATGGTGCATCGATTCATTGATTTAAAATAGAAAAAATGTATTGTGGTAAATACATAAAAATTGTACATGTGGCAATCAAATGTTTTCGATGTACGTACATTATATGTAATGGGTTCAAGTGACCTCTGCGGCCAATAGATCTGCTCGATTCACCTCATTTTTCAAAAAGGAATTTATTCATGAATAAAATCACGAAAATCCAATCGCAATGCAAGAAGGCCAATTGTTAGATGCCTAGAATAGTCTCACGCTGTGTTTCGTTGACCTGTTAGCAGTTCGTGAGTGAGCTGTAGCCGTATCTGTGTGTTTGACGTGCGTGCCGTGCGGGTCCCGTAGACTACTCGGTGGAGGAGAGACCCTCGCCGGGCCTCCTCGTCGCCGTGCTGGAAGAAGCGGAGACCCGAGGAGGAGGAGGAGGGGCAGACGCCGCGCCCGTCGTGTTTGTGCTCAACGCTAACCTGCTGGTCTCCCTGAGGATCATCAACTGTGAGTGATGTCACAACCAACCAACCCCCACCACCCACTCATCGCAGCTGACACTCCTTGTGGCCGCTTGCGGTTGCGGCCCGCACTACTCCACCCACAACACCTGGTCTGTTGGTGCTTCTGGACTGCTCCAACCATACCTTTCATATCACCTGCGCCTCTCCTGTGACGTCTCTCACTTGATATTCAAGACTTCTACCCCTTGATTGATTCATATTTGATTTCTGGGTTAGGTCACGCATTGCCCTGGCCAAATGTATGTCCTTAAGACCTTCCACCATCCGACATAGTGACACACATTCAATTGTCGTGTGTAGGAGTGTTTAAGGACAAGCCAATTATTGTTTGGCTTGCTCATCAGGTGAGATGAAGAACAATTCTCACATTACGGTCTGGCTTTTCACTTGAAATGGCGACAAGTATCTTCAGGAAAAGATCCTGCCATGATCATGAAGATACTCCTCTCTTGATTTAATTTACAATATCAATCTTTTTGTCGGAGTAGAGACGTCTACTGCAGTGTTAATATACAATAGTGTCAGTGTTACAGTTTGGGTCAGAGAGTTTGTGAAATTGAACAAAGCAGGATAGTAGGTGCATGTGGAGGTTGCGAGAAATTTCATGAAATATGGGGTTAACAACTTTAAAATTCATGTAAGAACAGTGCAAGAAAGTTATGTAGTTGTATTCAGGTAAGGAAGATTATGTTTGTTTGGACACGTCCAAGATTGAGAATGGCCAGCGACCAATAGAAAGGCCTAAATCCAGATGGTGGGAGCCCGAGAGCGGGCTTTGAAGGTCGGTTGTTAACTATACAACAAATACAGGTTCTGGCAGAAGGAAGGAAGCAATGGCGGTGTGGTGGCATACGTGGCATTGGCCACGATGACTTCTTCACTTTCACTCCACGCGTAAAACACCGAGCAACCTCTGGTCACTCTTGCCACGCTACGTGGCCTGCGAACGAATGAAACTTGGCACGTGCGCTGCTGTGGTGATGTCACGGCACGCACAGGTGAAGGCAGTTTGTGCCGCACGTGTGTTTGTGTGCGCGTGTGTAGCGGTTAGCGCTACGCTGCGCTACGAACCCGGCGACCCGAGTTCGATTCCCGCTCACGGCCAACACCAGTGACGAATATCTGAACCGGTCCTGGGCCTTTCCTATTTCGACTCGGCCTCAAATGCGTACCTGATGCGGTGTGTAAACATCGCTGCCGGGGAGACAAACGCGGCCGGGTGTGGCGTTGGCCACCCACCCCCTCGTGCGCCGTGCCAGCCCTCAGAGGTGCTACTCACTCACAGTTAAGGCTACACGGGGGATCTTTGTGTTTGTGCGCGCTTGCAGATGTGAACCGGCGGTGCTGGGTGTTTGCGACGCGGGGCATGCACGCGGTGGGGCAGGCCGAGGTGGTGGTGCTGTTGCAGTGTCTGCCAGACGAGAAGACCGTCCCCAAGGATGTCTTCCACTCGCTGCTGCATGTCTACACGGACGCCTACAAGGGTGTGTGCGTGCGTGCGCACGTGTGCGCAAAACCCACACTTGTGTGGCCGTTCAAATAACTCCTAACGATCACGTAAATTCACCACCGATTTTCAAGACACATTTGCAGTGAGGGTTGTGCATTGCAATATTCGGATAATGTATTTTTTTCAAATACATTATTTTATTCAGCATTAAAACGCACAGCCACTCTCCAAGTGCACAAGCGCAAACACAAAGGCACGTATTCAAACAACCTGTTTCATCAGTGTGAGATGGTGCGAGTACACAAGTGGGGGGTGTTCGCGTGGTAAGGGGAGCAGGTCATAGTACATGGTTCAGAGAACATGGAACGAGTTGATAAGTATAACAATGCTTTTTAAAGTGTTTTGTTAATTAGAAGTAAACCAGAGGAAGCCCATGCATATGAAGGGATGACACTCAAAATGTCGATGCAGAAGAGGTCATTAACCTGCTTGCTCTATTACCATCTCACAGTAGTCAGTACACTGAACTTGTCCTGGTCCTCCCCTAGGTCGACTCGGCCTCAATTGAATATTTGGTGTGATATGTAAACATCACCACTAAGGGGAGACAAAGACGACATGGTCACTCACCCCCTCATGTGCTGTGACGGCCTTCATAGGTGCTCGCTAACCGCACTTGCCCCAACAGTGTGTTAATGCTACAGGGGGGATGTTTGACCTTGTACGCACGTGCGTTTCCGTGCGCATCACCGAGCAGGCAAGCCGGTGGGACACCTGGGCCACTCATTCCTGGGCCGCGGCTTCCTGGGCAGCCGCGAGCATGGAGGCTTCCTGTTCGTGTCGCCGGCCATGCAGGCGTTGCCCGCGTGCGAGCTGCCCCCGCAGCCGCTGCTCTTCGCGCTGCTCATCCAGAAGTGGGAGGCTCCCTGGGCCAAGGTCTTCCCCATCCGTCTGATGCTACGGCTCGGGGCAGAGTTCAGATGTGAGGGAGGGAGTTGGGAGGGCGCGCTCACGCTCGCGCTATCACACATGGCACACGTGAACACTCTCGCACGCACCCACACATGCGCTTACACTGACGCACTCACACGTACACCCGCATATACTCACACGTGCACACACACATTCTTGCACATATTTAGGCTGACACTCATCCAACAATAACTGCCATTCGCCACTAAGTGGTGGTAACATCACAATAGCGCATGTGCCAGGCACGGTGCACCTTGAGGCCACACATGCTCGCACATGCGCACACACACCTGTTCAAACATGCACACACACATACACTCCCATTCATTTTCTTACTCGCGCACAAATGCCTACATACTCAAACACACAGCCACCATTCACCACTAAGTAGCGGTTACGTCACCACGGTTCTTGTGCCAGGCCAGGTCCACACACACATTTGCACAAGGGCAAGATCATGGATGCACGCACACACGGCCAGGGTTGGTGGGGTTCTGTCGTTGTTGAGTTTTACAAAGTAGTCACGGTGTCTCCCTATTGAGCAGCCCTCCTCCATCTTAGCATCCCTGAGCACTGCTGCAATTCCTCATTCCCATGGCAGGGGACAACCACTGTGAACCTCCTGCAAATGGTACCAATGTATTATCTATTGAGGGATGATGCGGAGTTGAATATACTGCAGCTGTAACGGGAGAAGCAGTGTATAAACAATGTGCGCTCTCCTCCATTCCACACTCCCCCCTGTCGCCCACGCCACTGCAGTCTACCCCTGCCCCTTGTTCAGCGTGCGTTTCCGGAAGCCGCTGTTCGGAGAGACTGGGCACACCATCATGAACCTACTGGCGGTGAGTCGCCCGGTCCATGCGCACACGTGAGCGCGTCTTATTACGACACGTGCTCGCTCGCATCACTTGCCCCAAACAGTCGTTCAAGGCTATATGTGGGATCATTTTATTTGTTACTATGATGAACATTATATTCCATCGACTTCAGAATCCGATGAGCTATGGAAGCTCCTTTTCATAGATGTCAAAGAGTTAGAACAAACAATTTAAAACAGATCTGAGTGCAAAGTTAAAGTTAAGCAAGTAACTCAATAAAAAATAAATTAAGTATATATGTAGAAATGCAATGGTCATGTGCAACATCAGCAGCAAGTGTACTATCCTGGCCCTCTCCGTAGTCAACTCGGTAGCACTGAGTACCTGCTGTGGTGTGTGAACATCTGCAAAGAGGAAATATGAGGTGCAACCTGTGGTGCTTATGCCGCTGTGATGTGCTGTGCTGCCGTTGATGGGCTCTCCCAAACAGTGATCATCTTCACTTATTTTCAAGCAAAACTAGGTTCTGACGTTTTCTGTTGGATGTGGTACAGCGGTGGCGAGCAGTTAACTGCTTACCTGGTAGAATAAAAACATTATGAAAAAATATTCAAGTATCGCAATGCGGTACTGGCATCCAGAGTTCTGTTCATAATAATAATTAAACATTTGAAGAGTTTACTCTTAGCACGGTTGGCTGCGGACGGTTCAACATACATGCAGAAAATGTCTCCAGCACGCTGTGGCGCCGCTGGATGCAACGCCGCTGGCGCCGTGAAGCGAAATGCAGACGTACGTTTCTGCCCGCGGAGCCTTGCCTTGTGGTTTTCGTGTGGTAGGACTTCAGAAACTATCAGTACAGCCTGCCCACCGTGCCGGGCCTCGTCGTGAGCATGGAGATGGGCCACACCTGGATCGACATCCCCAGCAACCGCTACAACCAGGTGGGGGGCTCACATCATCGCAGCCCAATGCGAGAGACGCGAGATGCAGGTTGGGGTGGGGAAGGGGGATCTCTGTAGACCATGTGAACGGGGGACTTGGAACGACGGGGGGACTCTTAGTTCGTGACACGACAATAAGAGCCCGAGACGATTTGCCTCCGAATCTGGTAATCCTGAGCTTAAGAGTCAAACGTTTGTTGGAGAATCGATGCAACGTTGGCACTTGTGTTGGTGATGCATCACCTGAGATCCCTTTCAAAGGGGAACCTTTTTGAGAGTGGGAAGTCAGTCGGATTGTTTGGGGGGAAAATCCCACAGAGCTAAGATGTGGTAGCAAGATCGTTACATGGGAAGGGAGGGTTTACAGGGGTTGGTTAGAGCAAATTCAGGGATATTTTATATAATATGGCTAATAAACTACCACATATGGCACATTAAATGACATTTAAACACATGGCAGAAGAGAATTATGTTGGGAGGGCCCATAGATAGCTCAAGGATACATTACACTCTCCACGCGTCTGGAAGTAGCATTTTTTTATTATTATTTTTCTATCGATGTCACTTTACTGAAAGAACCAAAGAATAAGCATTTTAGGATTTCGGATTACCACGCCCGCCCTCCGGCCCCGGTCCCCACGTCGAACCCGTCCACCGCCGCCGTGCGCCGCAGATGGTGAAAGTGCTGAACGGCGCCAACGAGCACGTGCTGGCGTTCGGTGCCGTCTTCAACTCGGCCGCCGACTCGCACCTGGTGTGCGTGCAGAACGACGACGGCAACTACCAGACGCAGGCCATCAACATCCACGCGACGCCGCGAAAAGGTGCTTGGCGGCGCCTCCGACTCGTCGCGCGGTGACTCCGCCCCGTCGCACTGTCCACTCCGAGCATCCCCTCCCCCCATGCTCAGTAGGGGTATGGGGGGGGGCAAGGAGGCAGTGTCACGCCACGGTGGCGAAGAGATGTTAACTACCTCGCCTGGTATACAGGAGGTTGTGAGTTCGATCCCGACCCCGACGCCTATTGTATATCTGGACTTTGCGTGTCTCTATCTCTCTCCCCAGTGCTCGTTTCTCTATCTGCCTGGTCTATTTAAGATGTCCTTCTGTTGGCTTTGCGTTGTGCCCACAGTGACGGGAGCCAGCTTCGTGGTGTTTAACGGTGCCCTGAAGTCTTCATCGGGGTTCCTGGCCAAGTCAAGCATCGTGGAGGGTACTTGCCCAGCCAGCTTATGTGAAATGACAACGCGAGGGTTTGCACTCAGGAGATGCAGTGTCCAAGCGCGTGTGACATGGCTGATAACAGCGATGATGACGAAACTTAAAAAGCGGTCGAAAAAATGTTTAGTTTACATGTCATGTCCATCCACAGGGCCCCCCATTGAAGTGCCTTCCCCTCCTGCAGAGCCCCCCATTAAAGCCCCCCCAGCCCCCGCCGCTCCGGCCATGTGCCCGCTGGCAATGGTGTGCTGCATCAGTGGTAAATTGACAAAGTGAGTGTCCCCGTGGACAAAGGCACTGGAAGAGTGGGGTTAGGGTAGGGTTGGAGTTGCTATTCTCTAGTTGGCGAGTTAGAGTTAGGGGTAGAGGCAGTGCTAACACCAGATTGGTTATTTGTTTAGGGTTAGGGATGGAGGCAGTCCTAACAGCTATTGGGTAAGGGCTTGAGCCAGCGCTAGTGTCCGGTTGGCTAGTTGGTTAGGGCTAGTAGTAGCAGCTGGGTGGCGAGTTGGTTATGGTTAGGGCCAGTGCTAGCATCTGGTTGGTTGGCTGATTGGATAGGATTAGCGGTAGAATTCAGGCAGGTGTCTGTGTGTATGCGTCCATGTTTGGAGCAGTGATGTAGCGTTTAGCGCACTGCGCTAAGAACCTGGCGACCCGGGTTCGATTCCCGCTCACCGCCATCACCAGTGATGATGATCTGAACCTCTCCTAGGTCGACTCAGCCTCATTGAGTACCTGGTGCGGTATGTAAACATCGCCACTGTGGAGACAAAGGCGGCCGGGCGTGGTCCTGTCCACCCACCCCCTCGTTTGCCGTGCTGGCCTTCATAGGTGTTCAGTAATAGCACTTTCCCCAACAGGCTGTTAAAGGCTAGACACGGGGGATCTTTGTCTTTGTTGTGCATCCGTGCAGACGGGCTCATGGTGCAGATCACGGCGGAGGGGATGGAGGCGCTGCGCTCGGCGCTGCGTGAGATGCGGGACCACACGCTGGTGTGTGGCCGTGCCGACGGGGAGCCCCCTCGCGAGCACGTGCACGCACGCTGGGTCGCCGACGACGCCGCCTTCAACCGCGGGTGCGCACGCACGCATGCACGCACGCGCACGTGCGTATATGCGTGTACTGACACGCGTACGCATGCATGCATGGACACGCGTACTAACACGCACGTACATGCGTGGTGACACGCACGTACACACGTACTGACACACGTGTACGCATACTGACACGCCCGTAAGCACGCACGCATAGTGACGCACGTGCGTATGCACACTGACGTTTATAAAACTCGGATTTGATGCAAAATGTAAGAAACGTGCTGTGGCTGAACGCCGCCTCCAACATCTTCCGGCCCGCCACCCTCTCCCCTGTGGTTTCCAGGGTAACGAGCCCCATCGATGGGCGCTCCATGGAGGGAGTTCCCAGCGTCAAGATCTTCCAGGGGTCAGAGTTCAAAGGCAGCGGGAAGATCATCAGGTGGACGGAGGTCCGTATACACCAAGTGCACGTGTGTGTGCGTGTGTGTGTGTACGTGCACAGTTGGGGAGCGGTGGCGTAGTAGTTAGCGCACTGCACTCCAAACCCAGCGACCCGAGTTCGATTCCTTATCACGGCCAACACCCGTAATGATTATCTGAACCTGTCCTGGGCCTCAACTCGGGCTTCAAATAAGTACCTGGTGCAGTGTTTAAACATCGCCACAGAGGAAGGCAAAGGCAGTCGGGCGTGGTGCTGGCACTAACAGCACTTGCCCCAAAAGTCTTAAGGCTGCATGGGGGCTTTATGTCTCTGTGTGCACACGTGTACGTGTACATGTGGGGAGCAGTGGTTAAGTGGTTGCCAGCCATGCACAACAGTGGCACGTGGTGTCTGAGCCCATCTCGTCCCTCTGCATGGCTGGCCCGGCCTGTAGGCCGCACCCGGGGGTTGATAAATAAACTATGTCAACAGAAAGATGAACATGAGACCCATTTATGTACTGTGACGGCCTTGACAAGCATGTGTGAATATGTAGATGTGCGTCTTGTGTGTGTACACGTGTACATAGTTATCTTAATAGGGGTTTCTAATTTATTCATTTCAGTAAGGCCACATAATGATCTGACCAAATTTGTGTTGAAAAACCCTCCACCACCAGACACAGCCAATCAAATAAAATTGTTGCGTGCACAAACTTTGAAGAACACGCCAATCATTATCATTTCCGCTCACTCACCGGTGAGTTGAACAATTCTCACAGTCAGATTTAGAACACTGGTACAAAATCGTCCAGGAAGTTAGAATAAAATCCAGTCCATTAGCATGTTTGTAAATGTGACAGTTAAATTGGTTTGGTTGAGTCGAGTGGTGGAGGGTCATTGCACGCAAATCTGCCCAGATGTTTACGTGGCCTAACCAAAAAAAAATCTATTCTGAATAGTTATATTGTCTTCATAAATCTACGTGTTCAGTCTTGACGGGGAGTTTACGTGCGTGTGTGTTTATTTAAGTGTGTGCGTGTGCGTTCGTTGCGGTCTGCGAGCGCAGGTGTTCTTCCTGCAGAAGGAGGAGGAAGGCGTCGGTGAGGGCGGGAGTCGGGAGGGCGGCACGTCGACCTTCGACCCCGCGGACCACAGCCGCGTGGCGGAGGCGGTGGCGCGCGCGTTTTGCGTGGCGCTGGCGCCTCGCCTCAAGGAGCTGCGCGAGGACGGACTCACGCAGCTGGGACTGCGCCTCACCCTGCACTCTGAGCAGGTGCTGCACGGGAGCTACTCCTCCCGTCACCCCCCGCTCGCGGTGCCAGTCGCTGACGGTGGAATCTCGGGCGGTTTCGGCAGATAACAGCGGGTGGATTCGCCACCGCGGCCCTCATATCACGGGGATTTTAAAGAGACGCATTTAATAAAAAACATAATTTGGTCACAGATTTAAAACCGCGCTGTACCTATGTATGGTGAGCTTCTTTCGCACCGTATGTAGCCAACTGTGCTCATCGGAGGCGCTCCCAAAGCTCGAAAGTTTGAACGGCGAGCAAAGCGGCGCCAACTTGTTGTGTGATGCATCTTCACGCTGCGCGGCAACATCACGTGGCAGGGCAGGGCTGGTTGAGTCCTGTACTTCACAGCCAATACACTCGCATTATTAATCATTAGAATTATTATTAGAATGAAATGTGATTTTAAATGCTTTTGATGCTTTATATTATAGAAAAGCAATATAAATAACAAACGCATGTCGTTAATGGGATAACATTGGTCTCGTGGAAATAACGGGGTCGAAGAAAACAGATTTTCTGGGGCATCCCAGCCCTGAATTAGCCCGGGACTTTGAGGACACGTCGGACAAGGCTTGTCAGGAGAATCGGTGAGCTTCCTGCTCAAAGGAGTGGCTGGGAGTGCTCATTTGTGTTGACAGCCCCGAACCAGCATTTGGAAATTCCCCACGCTCTTGAATGCATCTCCATAAGGCAGCCACCGCTGACGGTAGACGCCGCTAACGCTATCTCAGGCTAAATTGGGGATCGTTGCCCTCTGCGTGCGCGTTCTTTGACCAGGTCGGTTACCAGGCCGGAGGAAACGGGCAGCCGCTCCCCGTGCAGTACATGAACGAGCTGGACTGCGCGCTCATACCCATAATGCACGGCGGTGGAGGAGGGGGCGGCCCGGGCGATGGCGCCGTGCGCATGGAGCTCGTCTTCTCCATCATGGAGAACGTCTCCTAGCGACGCAGCGGACCGTCGCCGGCACGAGGCTGCTGTTGCCGTGGCGACGGCGACGAAGCGGCGCTCCGTGAAAACAGAGTTGCTGCCACGGCGCCTCCGTCCATTTTGATGCTGCGAGGATCCTTGCGAATTGAACGGATGTCATATATTTTCGAACGAGCCACGCTCGTTAGCGGCCCGTGTGTTTTTCTGTTTCGTTACTTTTCAAGCCGCTTTGATTTCTACCAAAAAAAAAACGTCTCGACGTCCAGTCGCCGATTGTGCCGGGAAGAACTGTCCGAGAGTGAACTGTGCATTTTCACTTTGTACGCATGAGTGTAATTTTACGGTGGGGACTTAGGAACGTGGGCACGCACGCGCGTGGACACGCGGACGCTCGGGAGGCGAGGAGAGCGCCGCTCACCAGAACTTGGGATAACGGCAGCCCCGCCCGCTTGGCACGGGCACCGCACCACTACCGCCAGTCGACAGCAGACACACCGAGACGGTCGCACAAAACATACCAGGCCTCAACTGACACACACAACGCACCCATAGTACATTCTTTCTCCGGCGGTTCAGCCTCCTCTGATGAAATGCTTTAACAGCAAAACCATTTAAAAGGTCTCGGCACTGATGATACGCAGTCGGCGCTATTGGAATCGCGTTCTGATATGAAAAAAATGTCCTTACACAAATGGTCAACAGAGCTCCACCTCGTCACTCGAAGTGTCTCAACGCGGGGCGTCTCACCTGGATACTCTTGTAAAAAGTGGTCCACACGTCGCTCACCATATTTTATTTCAGCCCTCAGAATTGAGGAGTCTAGTTTATTACGAGATATATTTGCGCACGCGTATTAGCGACCTGGGTTAAGACGATCAGCTCACTACACTCAAATGTTTGGTTTCATCAGGACCGGCCACCTAGATTTGCACCCATGTTTAATCGGTGCAGGCTCATCGACCGACATGGCACGGGGATCCAAACGAGCCCAGTCGCTCTTCTTTATTTATCTGGACAAGAGCCCAATGAGGCTGGCTGACTTCGGCTGACAAGCTAAATTGATATTTATCTTGCAAAAGAGACCTGGAAACAATACGTCTGAAATTTTATCGGGTACGAGCCCAGTGTAAGTCATGAAGCCAACAGCTGTCTTGACTAGTTGCGCACTGCCAGTTTAAAAAAAATTATAATTGGCAGGTCATTCTAAAGTTTGGGGTTTATTCCACAGAATTTAACGCCCTCTTTACTCAGAGCACTTTAATAATAATCATGATAATAATTTGATGCTAAAGTTACCGGGAGGTTGCCGTGGGAATAAAAACATTGTGTCCACGCAAAGTGGCTCAATGGCGAGCGTGCTGGCCACTCGGGCTGCTCGTGTCCACGGGCTCCTCGCGTACACGGGCTCCTCGTGTCCACGGGCTCGTCGCGTACACGGGCTCCTCGCGTCCACGGGCTCCTCACGTACACGGCCTCCTCGCGTACATGGGCTCCTCGCGTACACGGGCTCCTCGTGTCCACGGGCTGCTAGCGTACACGGGCTCCTCGTGTCCACGGGCTCCTCGTGTCCACGGGCTCCTCGTGTCCACGGGCTCCTCGTGTCCACGGGCTCCTCGTGTCCACGGGCTCCTCGTGTCCACAGGCTCCTCGCGTACACGGGCTCCCTGCATTCCTCGTCGATACTTTGAGCGGTGTCCCGGCCTCAATTTGCGCAGGAATCCAGTGAAAGTGAGCATTCTGCATGCCACCTCATAAAATTAATTACGCTGACACCATCTCATTTTGTGTTCTAATCAGCGGGGCTTTCTTGTTCACAATGTTAGTGTGTGGACCACGCCTGAAAAGCCACCAGTCAGAATGCTGCTGCTGCTGCTCGATCTCATTCGCCGACTTTATTCAACAGAACCACGACCCCCTCCATGCGGCAGCCATCGCTAGGCTCGCATCATCGAACGCGACTCGCGATCGTGTGCGATGAGCGTGGCGCCGTCGTCATCCTGGTTGACGAGCAAGCGGAGGATCCGGGCGGAGGGGCCTAAGCACTGTCGACCTGAGCCTCAAACACTAAATCCTGTTGTATGAATTGTAAAAAAAAGAAAAAAAGTGCTCGTTAAAAACACTGGGGCTTGCTTAAAAAAGCGTTGATGTGAATTTTTAGCCGGAACGTGATTCCCTCGCACGTGGACCCGCCTTTCATCGTGAGTCGCAGCATTGAGACGGCTGCCCCAATGGCAGGCGCTTTCCAGAGCACCCGTACAGTTGGCAGCGTCGCTCGGTAACAGAGTGCAGGTTGTCACCGGCGCTTATGACAGCCGCGCGAGGTCTTGAGCAATGTTCGCGTGCAGCACCCCCCCCCCCCCATGCCTTGCTACTGTCATTGATCTCTCGTTTCTTAGGTTTACTCAGGAAAGTCTCGCTGAGTCGTTAGTTTTAACGGGCGTCGTAATGTTTGGCCAAATTCGTGGGACGAAACCAGAGTGCCTCGAGAAAACCCGAGCGCAAAGAGGAGAGCGCTCAAACCCCAACGGACGTCCTTCCGGCTCCTCATCTGACCTTCGTGGATGCCTCGCGCAAACTCCCATCGCTGCGGCAACCACCAACCCCACCTCCCACGTCGCTAGGTGAAAGTCCCCTCCCACCGCATGTGGCTCTTCGGATTAAGCTTTTGATATGCTCGCAATATCCGGTGCTAGTGTCTCGTGCAGGTTGATGACACCGTGGAGCTATGCACTTTTAAATCTCGATTGAAAACTCATTTCTTCAAGAACAGCTTTTCGTGTTTAGTTGTCCTTCCCCCGCACCTCCGATTTGCACGGTTGGCTATGTACGGTGAGAAAGAAGTGCAACATACATAAAGCACGTCGCGGGGCTCCAACTTGTGAAGTGGGAGGTGGCTCTGTATATTGACCGTAGCTCTTTATGAAGGCGGGCACTGCCATGTGCTCGGATGGATTGGTGTTCGGATTAGGGCTGCCCATTACTATAACCAGTGGCACAGATGTAAATAAATGTGTATAATGTCGACCATACAGAGATTGTTGGTAGTCTGTACCCGTAAATGAACACGCAAAACAAAATATACCTGGGTTTTTATTTAATTTCGTTATCAAAACTATCTGTTAAAAGCTGTTTAAAAAAAAAAGCTTATTTACCTCTCAAATCGTGGCACCCATCGACGCGACAGTGAGCCGCCACAATATGTTTCACGATCACCTCTGCGCTGGTGTCCCATCGAGTAACGCAGCAGCTCCCAGCATGCAACGTGCGTCGTGGTGTAGACCGGGGCTCATGGGGTCCTCGCACCTCCCGATGGGAAGTGAGACGGCCTTGGCTGTGACGTCGCCCGAGGACGCTGCCGCGGTACGCCAGGGAGTCGTGTTGCTGTGGCTTTCGATTATCGTTCCTCGGTAATGACGCTCAAAAGTCCGCCTCGGATTACCACGGTTGACCGCGTACGGTGCGAAAGAAGCTCTACGTACGTACAAAGCCCAGAGAGCCGTAGGTTCTTGGTGGCTCTAAGGAAGGAGGCAATGTGGGAAATCGCTCACCCCCCTTTACCTGAGTGTAAACACCAAAAGCCCGATGGTGTGTCATGCCCAGTTACTTGTGGCTTGATTGAGATGTTTTTTTTGTTCTCGTTGGTTGGTAGGAGTCCAGGATTCAAACCCAGGCCAAAGCGGCGCAGGGCCGCAGAGTTGTGACGCAGGAACCGTGAGGCGCAGGGCGTGATGTGATTGACCGAAACCCATTCTATCACTGCGCAGTCTTCCATTACCGATGACGATGTGAAGGATTTGCAAGTGCCGACGAATAATGTATACGACTCAATACTGTGTTGACGATGTGGTTTTTGCACGATCTCATCTTCCTGCACCCTCTTTGGGCAGGGAATGCGTTAAATGTTTTTCATTTACTCTTTACCACTACCATCGCCCTGCAGTCGTGTGGTCCATTAACCCCCGTCCGTCCCACCACCTCCCATCGGCAGCAGCAGCATCATTATTTCCAAGTAGCCTGGAGTCTGGATCACCCTGTGGCGCTCACTCATTGAGAACCTCGTTGAGACGGAGGCCTGCAGGCGGGATCCCCGCATGGCACGTGCCAGGGTGTACGCTCCCTTCCCACAACTTGTACGAGTTTCATTCACCAGGCGAGAGCCCGATGAGATTATCCGAGTGGGGAGGAGGGTGCTCGCATATCAGCCGGTTAGCTCCATATCGATGGTTAATTGATGGTAACAACTTGCTCATTTCTAAGGATGAGCTGCCAACGCATCCTGTCAACTTTTAACGCGCGCATTAAAGATCGCATTAATTGGCGATACTCTGCGCTGGCAGTGGTGCACGCGCACAACGGACGCGCACCACACGCTCGTTAATATCGCTACGTTAAAAGGAGAAATTAAAAAGTGGGAAACGTTTCAGGCAATGGTCCTTCATTCGGTGTGCTCTGAAGAAGGGCCATGGCCCAGAACGTCGCCTGTTTTATATTGAGCACCCTATTTGGTCGTGTGCGATGCAGATTGGACGATGTGCCGCCGTTTTAGCTCAAGTCCCACATGCGAAAGTGACCCACGGCCGAACTCTGAAGTGATGTTCGCATCCCTTTACAATTTTTGTCTATGGGGCGTCTGGAATATTGCACTCACATCTGGGTTCATGGGAACACCTCGGTGAATCTCAGTGGGTACACCCATTGCGCTGTATAAGCTCTCACGCGTCATTCTCATACCTGTAAACCCCCTTATCAGACCAATTCAGACCTTATCGGTCACCCCGTGCCCTTATACATCTCAACGTTCATCCTACAAAGTTCCATCACAAGGGAGTAACACAAATAATAGATAAAACATTGTTTGCCCGTAGTGAAACGGCTGTACGCCATATGGACCTGAAAACTCAATTTCCCTGTACAACAATACGGATAAACCGTGTATGGGTTGACACGGTGTGCATTCTCGAGGATCAGCTTTCGACCATGCCAGGTATACACGCCCGCTGAGGCAATCTCCAAGTCGCCAGGACTTCAACAGATTTTCTCGTAAAGCAAAGCGGGGATGAGCCTAGGCAGTGTCTGGGACGAGTAGCGACCCTGAACAGACAGGTTGCCAATGGAGCTCTGCTCTGGATAGCACAGGGGTGGTGCAGACAAACGCCAGCGTTGTACTGCACTCATATGATCCCAGTCTCTGCTACCCCTTCCCCCCTTCAATAGGCCACACTGAAACAGCGTGGTGAAGTATGGGCAGACAACCCCCACAACCCACATGGCAAAGGGAGAGCCTCATCCAGCAGTGGGTTAAAAAGGGCTGTTCAGTAAATGTACTGACCCAATAATGAAATTATTTATCCTGATTGCAGAGGCATAGTTGGGAAAGCACGGGACATGGGACAAATCAAACTTCCTCACTCACGATTTACACTGCCTACATATATAACATAACTATATATACGGCTGACATTGGCCCTAAACGAAAAGGGCTTTATGTAGTACCAGGCAACTCTGAAGGTGAACATTTCGCCTTTGGCACAAGGCGTTGGTTTAGATGCGTTGTAGAGCTTTGCAGTTCCTTTAAAAACGTGTGGCTTGACTTGTTAAATCGCACTGCGGAAATCATCAGACTGGTGGCATTGGTGGTAATGGGTTTGCCTCGGTAGAAACCGACTCGCTGGCGAACGCGCTTTAGCTGCTGTCGTCAAAACTTCCTCGTCACGGCGAATGATGACACACCCCCCCCCCCTTTATCCCAGGCAGTGCAATGTTTATTTTATCGTTCAATATAAAAGTGTCTGATGGAGTTGTTTTTGTAGCAATTGGCATCACCCACAGCGCACAGCAGCACATGACCACACATCATTGACGCACACACACACACCTAGCATCGTGGTAAACTGTGCAGCCTGAATGCAATACAGAACTCCTCTTATCCGCGGCCTGTAACCCTCTACTCGTTACTTGCGGCAGCTGTAGGATCCATGAAAGCACCTGTTTATTATCCCCCGCGGCCTGTAACCCTCTACTCGTTACTTGCGGCAGCTGTAGGATCCACCTATTTATTATCCCCCGCCCTATATACATCCGCGGTTATCCACGATTTTGCCCATGATGCATAGCGATGGGGCCTCCTCATACTCGGGATTTTTTGTGGGGAATTCATCCTATTATCCGCGGGTTAACCTCGAGTTATATACCCCGCAAATGAGAGTCAAATTGCAGATAACCCCTCGGGTAATTGGATCCGCGATATCAGTCCCCATATTACCGCGGATAAGAGGACTGTGATGTTTTAGCGCTGCATTGCTCCAAATGCAGCCGAATGAGGCTGTAATTGGGAAATTGAGACACATTCAGGGTGTGTAACTTGGCACTGTTGGTCATGACCAGTTTGAAATTTAATCACCATGGCGTTTTGACATCAGTGTCAAGGTCAATATACGTGAACATGGTGGCAATCTTTTTGTGGTATATAGTTTTCATGAAAATATATGTAATGTCAAAGGGGATTATGCACACTTTCTGAGCAATTTTAATGAGTACAGTATTCATTGTTTTCACTTTGTGTTTTCATTCTGAAATTCTCAACAACAAGAAAAATTCCCTCCGCTGAAATGTCAGAGCAGGGCTGCACTTTCTTGCCTCCATACCCTGCCAGTGTTGAGGTTTGAACGTCTTGGAAAGCAAGGGAGGTGTCTGGGGTCTATAGGCCGTTGAAACTATCTGTCGCAATTCATATGTGCTCCGTGGTTGTTTAGAATCGTCTTCTGATACTTAGCGCATGCTTCCACAAAAATACAAGAGCGTAATATGAAAGGCTGCTGGGTGTAACTTCAGAATATCTATCGCAGCATTATTAGGCGGGAACAGAACGATGTGCAGCAGACATGCACTTTTTTTCCACAGACGTGTGTGCTTGGAGCGATGATGGAGAAAACAGTCTGAAATAAAATCATGTCATTCAGATTCAATTTGGAGATCTAAGGGGATATTGCACATATTGGAAGTGTTCGTGTTATAGAGCAATTGGAAAACGGAATATTGCTTATGGTGGGAATTATCTGTTGATCAGAATGACTCTGTAACCCTCTGCCCAATGGCAGGGTTTCTCCAACTAGCTCCATCTTGTCCGAATCTTGATATTATTAACTTCACTGTGCCCCCCTCACCCTCCTTACCCCCATCACCCCTGTGAACCCCTCACCCCCGTGCCCCCTCACCCCCCGTGCCCCCTCACCCCCGTGCCCTCCTCACCCCCCGTGCCCTCCTCACCCCCCGTGCCCTCACCCCCGTGCCCCCTCACCCCCCGTGCCCTCACCCCCCGTGCCCTCCTCACCCCAGTGTTCCCCCCTCACGCCCATGCCCTCCTCACCCCCCGTGCCCTCCTCACCCCCGTGCCCTCCTCACCCCCCATGCCCTCCTCACGCTCCGTTCTCCCCTCACCCCCTCCCCCGTGCCTCCCCCCCCCCCCGCCTTCTCTGTTGTAACGAAACTTCTCCTGGTCCCACTGTAGAAGAGGGTCACTGTAAGAGACAATCTCGGGGAGATCATTCAGATTAGAGTTAGATTCGTGTTGGTTCCAAGGTAAGGTTAGGGTCAGGTAAATGGTAGCGTTAGTGATGAGATTAAAGTTACGTATCGATGGGGGTTAGGGTTAATGTTAATGACCAGGTGAGGGCTAGGGTTCGGAATGGATACAATTAATAGGTGTCGATGTTCAGAAATTGTTCATATAACTGCTAGTAAGAGGGATAGAGTTAGTGTTATGAATATGGTTTAACAAATTTGAATTGCAAAAGCATTTTATTATAGTTTGAATCACTTACTAGTGTTGCTTATTTGGATGGTAAATTACCCCCACACACAGGCAGATACACCACACACACATACGTGTATTCCCTCAGAGGCAATTTACACACACGTGCTACAAAGATTAACACAGCGCTGCGTGCCGTCAGTGTTTGTGAACACACGGCACAAAAGGAACCCCCCTTATGTATTTATCTTTATTGAATATGCAAATACAAGCAATAATAAAGATTATTCTTGCAAAGTTTATGCCACTCTTTGGGTGGGTGGGTGGGTTGGTTGGGCTGGCTTGTGTGCGTCTCCTTAATGTGATGGCACCGCGTGTATCGCTGGGATGCAGTCCGTTGGTTCATGGGCCAGGGCAGACTTTGGAACCACGAAACTTTAGTTCCAATTTATTCATACGGCTAATGAGAGTACATGTTTTATAAACACCCCAGTCTATCAAATGGTATTCGCATAATTCAGTGTTTGGCATCATACCTTGGAACTGTGAAACTTATGCCACCAGGTGGGAGCGACAAGTGAATTACACGATATGGTTCGGGCTCGAGGATTAAGAAGGTCACCGGGGGCGGTGACGCGGCCCAGTCATTTCGAGAATCGCCGCTTGTTGCAGAGGTTCACAGTTCGAAGCCGGCAGGCTGCCCCGGTTATTACTGCTCGGGTCTTATAGCGTGAATACGCAACGTCTGTTTTACAGTAGACGTGAAAGTTCCCGTCCTTTAGTTCGAAAAGAGTAAGGCCATTGTGTGCCGGCAGCATGGTGTCAAATTTGACCCAGTGGACTCAATTGGATTACACTGCAATCATCGCCTCCACCCCTCCTACTGGCAGACCAATGTCCGCTTGAAGGCCACGTGCTGATTTACCTTGTACCACACGGGCAGAGCTGCCACTGGGGTGCCCCTTTAATTGTTTGAGGTGTGATGTTAAGCAAGTTGCTTATCGCAGCCTTCTGGGACGCCCTGGTATAAATGGCGCTATTTCAACTTGTATACACGATTCCAGTCCTGGGAGGCTGAAACAGCATCATCAGCTTGCTCAGTCATCCTGTGATCAATGAAACGAGGCCATACACTAGAAAGTAAATATTGTCCTTTGAGACTGGTCCCTACCATAAGAATGTGGAATAGTCATTGTGTCAAGCCAGCAGTAACGACCACTGTTTGAAAATGAGGGTACCGATATGTGTGTGATATCCCATCTTGGAGCATTTTGTGTTGTGTGCATTGGTTATTGGGGTTCCATTTCTCACCATGATTCACATATCCTATGGCAGATCATATCCGGACCTTCTCCTGGTCGACTCCATCTAATGCAAGTGTGGTGTGGTGCTGTGCTCTGGCTCATTTCCACCAGCAATCAAGACAAGGGCACCTTCCGACCCGTCACGTGGGACTATGGTCCCCACTGTTAAAGCGACGAGCCACTGGTTTCTACTAATTTGGGGTTTTACATAGTGATCATCGCCCCCTACTGGTTGACTAATGTCCCATGTGATCACTCCAGCAAATGAGACTCATCCTAGTCTCTTTAGTTCTCACCTGGTTAATCCCCATGGCGGCTGGGGAAGAGCTCGCTGTTGGATTGGCAGAATAACAATGCAAGTCATGACAGGAGCTGATCGAAAACAAAGACATGACGCACAATAGCAAGAAAGCACGGTCCACAATCACAGCACTGAGCAACGACCCACAAGGAGCAGCTGTGGTGCCATGACAGCGAAGCCGCTCCGTGGGAGCCGTGCCTGCGGCGGGGGTGCTGCAGCAGAGAAGCCACCCGGCTTCCGTCACAGCGCTTCCCCCGCCACCCTCCACATGAACACACACACGCACTCACGTAGGGCCTCGTGGGGGGGTCACCTGTCCCTGAGTTTTCACCTGAGGGCCCCCCTCGTGGGGTTGCTCCACGGTTTCTCAGGGCCAGGGAATTGGCAGCCCCCCCCCCCCAGGCCGAATGGCACTGCGGCGCCGTGGATTAACTTAAAATTGTATGGCCACGGCAATCTACTGAGAACCGCAGTGAGGAAACAGCCAAGGGCACACCTGGAACAGCAGGCAGGTGGGGGGCGGGGCGGCACAGGTTGATCCCTATGATGCGGCGCACCTTTAGTTGTCGGAGGTGCACTTAGCTAAACAATGGGGGTGGGGCGTCGGAGAGGAGGCTCCTGATTGGATGAGAAGCCAGCGGATCGGCGGCGTGTGGGCTTTGAAGTAGGAGCGTAAAAAGGGATGAAATTGGGAAGCTCTTTCTCTTTTGCCTGGGGTCTTGTGGAGTAAGGGACCGAGGTGTGATCGTCCCCTGCTACTCGAACGTCCGTGAGACGGGTCGCAGAGCA